GAAATCCGATCTGTATCATCTCAAGCTGCTCAATATTTAAATGAAGGATGTGAGTGGCAGGGCAGCAGAGGTTTTGGCTGCTTCCATGGCACCTACTGAGCGGCTCATCTGCTCTTTGCTTTGCTAAACATTAACAAATCTGTTACAGGAGGGCTGGAAGACTCCAGTACTTCAACAGGCCCAAGATACATACTTCCTTGTAAACAGATCCTCCGTGTAAAGCCCGAGGCCATACCTGACTACACCCTGGATGCTAATTAGGGGTATCACCTTTCATCCAGGGCCTCTGGGCTTCCGGCCTCTTCATCCACCCCATCTTGTTACTGGAGCTGGAAATCCAATGCTTCACCCCCATCGGTTTCCATGGAGATGCAACAGTTTACTTTTTTCTTCCCAAGTCTAAGCCATAGTTATTTTTAACTGGAAAACTCTGAGCCAGGTCACAGCTGGGATCTGGATGATGCAATGACGTCTATAGCTACCCTTCTCTCCCACAAACGCCTTCTTTTCTGCAGTTGTTGGGGGCGGAGGCGCTCCAGGGAGACTTTGAAAAGCTGTTTTTGCTTTGGTTCACGAAGTTAAAACCCTTACCTTGACTTAGAGCTGGCAGGCATTCTCAAACCTCACAAAGATGTACTTGTTGGGAAGCCAGGTGAGGCCGACATTGCTTAGGTATCATGGCTGGGTATGGGTCTGGCTGATTGGCTATTTGCTGCAGCTTTCCTTAGTGAAGAGGAGGCTTGTAAAAGAGGACAAAGGTAGAAACAGGTGGAGAATCTAGTGCTTATCTCTCCAGCACAAGCTGCAGATCCACAGGGTACCTTACTGACTTCTACCCATCTTGCTGGAGAAACTTGGTCAGTCCACCTACTTACTACCAAGGCCCTTTGTTTCCAGGAACTGGGCTTATCAAGGCCTTTCTGGTGTTTCATTTCCTCAGGGTTTTCCTTATTTACCTGGAAACTGCCCATTTCACTCTGACAACTCTCTAAGATTATTATAAAAGACTACAAACAAAAACAGACTTCTGAGCAGTCACACACAGGTGATATTGATTGCACACATTAACTTCTACTACCCACAGCTTGTCATTGCATTAAAATACATTTTGTTGTTTATTTTAAAGGCATTCCTTAAATGAAGAGTGGTAACAGAAAGCAAATCGTTTTCTCACTGTTGTTCACTGAGAAAACTGATTACTCAGAAATGGGGGGCGGGGGAGTGAATGCATTCCACACAACCCTCCAAGGAGAAACATTAGGTGTGTCATGAGCTGGAACTTGGCTATCAGCCTGCCATTTCAGTGTTTTAAGAAAGGGTTGGTTTGCCAGGCAGTGGTGGTGCTTGCCTTTAATCCCAATACTCAGGAGGCAGAGGCAAGTGACTCTCTGTGAGTTCAAAGCCAGCCTGGTCTACAGAACTAGTTCCAGGACAGCTAAGACCACAGAAAAACCTTCTTAAAAAAAAAAAAAAAAAAAAAGGAAAAGGGTTGGTTTAAGTGTGTGTACATGTTCATATGTGCACAACAGCACGCAGAGACCAGTATCTTCACCTTTTTGCTCTCCATCCTGTTTTTTTTTTTTTTTTTTTTTTTTTTTTTGAGACAGAGACCTTCAGTGAAGGAGCTCACACATTTAGTTAAACCCATTGGCCAGCAAGCCCCTACCCCCAATCCTCCTCTGCTTCCTCAGCACCAAGATTATAGGCTCATGTGGCTATATCTATCATTTTATGTTGATGTTGGAAATCCAAACTCAGGTCCTTCCTCATCCACGCAAGCACTTTACAAAATGTCATCTCTCCAATCTTCATGAGTTGGTTTTCTTTTTCCTTTCTTTCTTTCTTTCTTTTTCTTTTCTTTTCTTTTTTTTTTTTTTTTTTTTTTTTTTTTGGAGATGGGGGTTTTATGTAGCTCAGGCTGGTCTTTAACTCCATATGTAGCTCAAGATTGACCTTGAATTTCTGGTCCAATCTCTGCCTTCTGAATCCTGACATTACAGGTATGCACCACTACTCCAATTATGCTAGGCAAACATTCCACCAACTAAGCTATGCCTCCATCCCTATGGCATCTTCTCACACTTCCTAAGATGCTGACTCCTCCAGCCCCCACCCCTCCCATTAACTATGGACCAAGGCATATTAGTAAGTCAAGACCTCAGACCACGGAAGGTCCTGACTAATACAAACTGAAAAGGTTTGCCTGGTAAAGAATGCAAGGTTAATTCAACCTAACAATTGAGTCTGATGACAAAGAAATCTACTACCTGTACTCTGAAGTAGAAAATCAAGTGCATCAGACTCAATTATCTGGCCTTAAAGGATACAGGACAAGTGTAGGCTGGCAAAGCAAATACAAGCAGAGTTCAGTGACCTTCTATGTTACATCTGTTTTTTTTTTTTTCCTCGTTTTGTTTTTTGTTTTTGTATTGGGTTTTAAAGGTTTTTGGAATCACATCACTGCATTTCATTCTCTTTTTGTTTTGTCTTTCACGACAGGGCTTCTCTGTGTAGCCCTAGCTGTTCTGGAATTCATTCTGTAAGGCTGGCCTTGAACTCAGAGATCTTTCTGCTCTGCCTCCATCGGGATTAAAGGCTCAGCTGCTGTTCACCCTTGTATTGCATCCCCCAACTAAATTCTATGTTTGAACGACTATGACTATTCAGGCTGCTCTGACTACTTTTAGCAAAGATCCTGTCCAAATTCCTTAACATTTAAAAGGGCTGGTGTCCCACCTGAAAAAAACAAACTTTTTTGGGTGTTCTGATTGAGGCTGTCTACCTGTGGCTAAGTACAATTGACAGGAAAACAACACATACAGATTAGCAATTCAAACACAAAAAGCAATGCACATTACAAGTTATACAATTGGTTTTTGTGTATTTTGTGAACATAGTATATATCTTGAGGTATTCCCAAAGGCATCCTTCAAAACGGATGGATGGATGAGCAGACACAATGGATCACAACTATGAAGGCAGAAACAGAGTGACTGGAGTTTGAGAGAGTAAACTCTTTTCTACATTGATGAGGGATAAGAGAAACCTCTATCAGTATAGCTGGCCTTCAGCCAACCCTGTGTGGATGCAGAGAACCATGCAGTGTTAATGAAGTCTCTTGCTGGTACTAGGTAGCCTTGTCTAGATGTTAAGAAATAAAAACAGCCATATTAAATTCAGTAAGTGCTTTTCTAAAATAAACACAAAAGGATGTAGTGACTCTTTTCAAAGGACTTCTGGACTGGAATGTAGCACTTGCTAGGCAAGAGCATGGCCTGTTCAACTTCCAGTTCCTTGGGGGTGGTGTGGGGGACCAATACCTGATCCACTGAGGCAAAAGGATTACAAGTTTGAGAACAGCCTAAGCTACACTGTAACACCATGTCTCAAAAAGAAAAACAAAAACAAATATCCCCCAAAGGCAAGCAAGCAATTCCTTATTCAAAATAAGGCTTTGAGAAATTTCAGAACACCAGGCTTGAAATCTGACAAAATTGGACTCATCAAAACAACAGTAACCCTACTTCCTAAAGTCTAGTGATCTGCAATGATAGCTTTCTCTTTCCATTGCTATTTGCCACCATGTCTGCTAATCCACAATGCTCTCCAGCAGGCAATTGCTTCCTAGGTTTCAGTCTGTCCTACCATCCTCCAGCTCGGGACAGCCACAGATGCCCTTGTGTCCCAGCCAGATCTCTTGGCGCTTTTCCTTGCTCCCACGGCTGCCTATGCACCTCCCTCTACCCCCCCCCCATGTCTAGAACAGTTCCCCACTTCCATCTGCCATTTCCCCACCAACTTCTGATTTTCATCTCTGCCTCAAAAGCCCTCTTCTCCCAGGAAGCTTTCCTTAATCAAGATTAAAATCCTTCATACCACAACCAATACGACCAAACACTGAAGTCTAACTGGTCCCAAAGTCAGACCAGTGACTACTCTTCATGGTGGGATGGAATCTGTTTATGAACAACCAGTATTGGTGGTGGTGATAAAATGCATTTTCAAAGAATGCCTACTAAAGAAAGGAAATCATTTCCACAAGTTGTCCTTTTTAATTAAGATTTCCCCCCCCAATATTTTGATTATTTCTCCTCCAACTCCCTCATATTCTGCCACCACCCCACCCACCCAATTTCATGTTCTCTTTCTTAACAAAACAAAACAAAAAAACAAAACAAACAAACAAAAAAAACCAGCAAGACAAAGTTGTTTTTTTTTTAAAGGGAAATTATTGGACTATTCTTAGATCCAATGTTCTTTTCTATACAGTAGGCTGTTTAGCCAGCAAAAGTGCTCATTGCAGCAGCCTGGTGACCTGAGTTTGATCCTCAGAACCCATAGTGTAAGAAAAGAACTGACACCAGAGAGTGTTCCTCTGATCCATATGCACACATGACCTAACCATGCCACCTGCCCTGCTCATGTGAATTTTTAAAAATACATACTATTTTCTCAATCTCAATATCAAGTTGCAAACACATTTCTATCAGCTACAAGTCTCAGTATGTACTTCCAAACAAAGCGCATCCTAACTGGATATTTGAATGTTAAAGGAATCAGAGAATTAGCTACTGGAGGTGATCTGTGCGGATTCTAAGTCATTCCCACCTGCACCTTTGCTTGCAACAGACATGAGATAACCATGACTGTGAGTTTGGCTTCTCATTTTGAGGGCCACATTTCAGATGTGGTGAGCTACTCACCCTCACAGCCAGTGAGTCTCAGGTGAAGTGGCTTTACTTGTGTTTGAAAAGCAGCTTTTATTGCAGGCTAGCCTTTCACCACTGAGAGATTAGGTTCAGGTTTCAACTAAAGCAAAGCTGAGTTAGCTGCGTCATCTCTACCCTCACAGGCCTGGTATCCTGGGAAACACAGGCTAGCAAGGTGAGACCAGGACACAGGACACACGTGTAAGCTGAGACAGTGCAGCATGTTGAGGCGGGCATCCAACAACCCAAGTGTGCTTTAGTTACCAGAATAATATCTGACACACCCACAAATTAAATAGCAAAACATTTTAATCCATTAATTCTAAAAATAACAGAGACATTTTATATCCGGTGCCACCTCCTCAAGAGTCTACTGCAGATCAGACAGCCAGACTGCAAAGTACAAAGCCAGACATGAAAGTTAAAAATGCAGCTCGAGACAGACCATCATGGGGAGACATTCCACCTCTTCAGCTCAAAAACTGAGACGTTAGCTTTAAAAAAAAAAAAAAAAAAAAAAAAAAATCCTTGAAAGAAAAGGCTTTCTTGTGCTTTAAAAACCCTCCTCTTTATTTGAAATCTGTGTGCAAGATGGGAAGGCAGAGAGTCAGCGAGCTTTACTCTCAAGTTCAAGGATCTGAGCTGGACTCCTAGGATGAAATGCTGTGGCTTGGCTTGGTTCTATTTGCACCAAAGCCATGATGTGAGGTACTATGGTTCTTGTTTGAGTTACAAGAGGTGCTAGGAAAGAATGCCCACTCATGTTTAATAATAGCTAGGTGAGCACACACACTGCATCGCTATTCCCACAACAGGAGCACTTTACAGCAGGGCAGGAAGAAACAGATGCACTTAGAGTACCGAGTCTTTCCTTCTTTTCACAATAAGAATCCAACTCAAACCCAAGTCTCCAGAATGTCCTTTGACCTGCCGCATTCCAGACTTCTGGTCTGCATTGCTAAGCAGACACTCAGGCTTTGGTGATGTACCCCTCTCGAATGAGGAAGTCATAGATTTTCCGGGTTTTGTTCACGTCTATCTTGATGAGTGCTCTTGCCTGTGCCAGTCTCAAGCCTCCTTGCTTGTTACACTCATTCAACAGAGCAGATTTATATTCTAAATAGGCTCCAGGTACCAACCTCACCACCTGACAGAGCTGTAAAGACATGACAAATTTAATAAATATTGACATCTGTCATTCTCACAATTTAATCCAGAAGGTATAGCAATACCGAGAAAAAGGGGGGGGGGTGCACTGGAGTGATGGTTCGGTAGGTAAAGGGATTTGCCACCAAGACTTGACAACCCAAGTTTGATCTCTGGGATCCACATGATGAAAAGAGAAAACCAACTTCTTCAAATTGTCTTCGATCTCCACATCATACTGTGGTACACATATGCCCCTCTTTTCCCCCCACACCCAAAATAATATGTATTTTTTAAAAAAGTGACATCAACCTCCAACTATTTATGGGAGCTGTTGAGTGGCTGGATCACATTCCACTTCCTCTCTTCTTTGTAGACAGACACTCAGCAAGAAAAAGGCACGTGTGATATCAGCCAGGAAATGAAGGCTGGCTCAAGGGTCTAGTTCAGTTAGGGAACAAATACGTGTTGCTGAGGAGCTGCCAGGCTTGCCCAGGAGTTGAGTGCTAAATGGCTAGGGTTGTTGCCCAGCACCATTCTGACAATGACTAGTCAGGGAAATGACACAGAGCACAACAGGGCATTGAGGGGTGGTGGCATTGCAGGTGCCTGGATTCCTAAATATAAATCACATAGTACTGGCAGAAGAGACTAGCCTCTGTCTGGGGAGGAGGCATCTTTACTGCTAATGCAGAAAGTAGACTCAGTTCAGTTCACCTGCCATTATCAGCAAGGAGCAGTCTGAATCCCTATCATATAGGAAAGCAGTAAAAAGATGTTTGGAAATCTAGAGTATTCAATACACAACACTGAGAAACTGGACTTTCTTCAGCACACATTCCTTTCTACCCTCAAAGAAATGTTTATTTCCTCTGATGGATAAAAGGCTAATCACAGTGCACTGTGATTTCTTAGTGTCTGATATGAGCAGATGCTATGGACCAACAGAAAGGGTACAGACACTAGAATAAGATGAGCTCCTCTTTTGTTACACTTTGGGTTTTGTTTGTTGGTTGTTGGTTTGTTTTTTTGAAACAGGGTCTCTTGTAGCCTAGGGTTGCCTCTGAGCTTACTGGAGAGCTGACAGCTGCAGATGTGCTTGAGCTCCTGATTCTCTTGCCTCCACCTCCTAAGTGTTGTGATTACATGTGAGTGCTACCCAGGTAGACTTTCATTTGTTTTGAGGAAGGCTCTTCACTGTGTGGCCTAGGCCAACCTCACAGTCTCCCCCATCTCAGGCTTTCAAGTGCTAAAATTAGAGGTCTATACTACACCTGACTAGATGTACAGATGACAAAGTTAGAAACAGGCAAAAGCTCCAGAGTCAGCTCAGTGATTTCAATGGTAAAGAAGGCTATGGTACTTTTCAAAATCAATGTGTTGTAGGTGTGTTTGTGTGCGAATGTGAGTGCACCTGGGAGGCAAAGGCAAGCAGATCTCTGTTGAGTCTGAGGCAAGCAGCACACTACACAGTTCCAGGCCAGTGTGTGTTACATAGTGAGGCCCTGTCTCCAAAGTAAAAATAATGTGCAAATAACTATATATGACACTGAATTATTTTCCTTATGCTTATCAACATACTATGGAGACAATTAAAAAAAAACATTAAGTGATGGTTACATTGGTGGAATAAGTGCAGAACCTCTCAAAGCAACCATTCTAATGGGAAAATCATATTTTCAAGTAAAAGTGACTTTAGGTCTACAAAGCTTCACTTACATAATGCATCAAGTGGAGCATCTGCCATATAAATGCTCAATAAATGACAGCTACTGCTATTATTTAATTGACACTGTTGCATGCACTTCTCTCTAAAAGGGGAAAGGTAGCTTCAAGACGAAAGGAATTTTTTGGTGCTTACCAAAGTTAGATCTTTAGTTCCTATACTTCTCAGACATGAGCCGGGCACATTAGACAAGTGCAGTAAAATAGGTTTGATGTTGTAATGGATTTTAATGACAACTTAATGAATTAATCAGCCCCTCTTTCCTTTCCTCTAGTTCCCCTCCCTTTTATTACCTCCTTTTCTTTCTCATTGAGTTTCTCTGTACCAGGGAGGCCGGTGAGGTTCAAAGGTGGTGCACTTCGTCTGCCTAGACACAGATGCAAAACAAACACACAAACAAACAAACCAAACATTTCACAGAGGTGTTACTGTTCGAGTATAAAAGCCTAACCAACTCCCTTAGGCTGGTTTACCCAGCTCTTTGGTCACTGTAGTGGTTTGACTGAGAACAGCCCCACAGGCTGATATTTCAATGTTTAGTACCCAGTTGGTGGGACTATCTGGGAAAGATTAGGTATGGCTTTGACAGAGATGTGTGTGTGTGTGTGTGGGGGGGCATCTGAGGTTTCAAAAGCCTCCTGCCAAGACCAGTGTAAGCTATGCTTCTTGACCAGAGATCAAGATGATAGCCCTCAGCTGTTCCTGCTGTCATGCCTTTGCTCTGGATCATGGGCTCTAACTCTTAGCAACCATAAACACAATTAAATGCTTTTGTTTAGAAGCTGCCTTGGTCAAGGTGTCTGTCTTATCATAGCAATAGATAATTAACTAATACTGTCACCCCAACATTCATTTGAAAATAAAAATAATCCATGTGCTCTTTGTTTTGTTGAAATATAAATATGATCATGCTCACCTTCTTATCAATGACCACTCAGCACAGTGGAGGACTCTATCTGTGGGAGGAACCTATCTGATCTTCCCACATGGGAGACTCTAAACTCTGGAGCCCAGATGTTCATACAGTTTAGGAAGGTTACAGTCTATGTGTCTGGACAGCTGACAAATAGAAATAGGAATCCTGCAGGAGATTCTTTCTTGTCACTACTCTCTAGCAGGACAAGGCAAACATGGTAATTAACCAAGTACTACGTACCTTCAGATCAAAGACAGAGTCAGGCCACCAAAGCTCTGTTTGTTTATTTTTCTTTGAAAAGAAGTGGCATTTAACTGAAAGATCTGAAAGATCTACACTGGAATAACAAGCCAAATGCTGTATTTGCTATATGGCAAAGCAGGGACCAATGTCAACGTCCTATCTAAGAAATAAGCCCAAGCAGGAGGCAGCACCCGATTGCCAGGCCAGGCCAGTATATAAAGATTAATGCACGAGGGCTTCTCCTTTAATGGGCGATGATGATGGTACGTCTGTGTGGTGCACAGGCCACAGGTCAGACCACAACTGTGTGCTGTCAGTGCCTTCCTTTCGGCCTATTTTCCCAGGGTTCCATGGATGGAACACAGGTTGCCAGCCTTTACCTGCTGAGCCATCTCACTTGCCTCTGGTCTTATTCTGAATAGATGCTTGGGATGAGCAATCAGCTGGGGACGGTTAAAGTGAGTTGTTTTGTGGGGACTGCCATTGGAATGGGGTAGAAGGAAGAAAGGACTGCTCAAGTTGTTCTGGAAAACCTGATTCTTGGGGACATCAAAAGGGCTAAGAAATGAAGGCTTGGAAATGGAGATAAAGGGCTGGAGAAATGGCTCAGAGGTTAAAAGCACACACTGTTCTTCCAGAGGTTCTGGGTACAATTCCCAGCATCCACATGGTAGCTCACAATCATCTATAATGAATTCTGGTGCCCTCTGTGGGCAAGCAGAGATTTCATACATAAAATATAAATAAATAACATTAAAAAAAAAAAAAGAAATGGCCTCTCAAAGCTTGGCTACAACTAGGGACGGTGGGCTTCCAATCTTTTACTGTCCGAAGAAGCACAAAGTTAGAACATAGAAGGGAGGCAGGAATCTCACACTAACACAATGAGAAAGAAAGCAGGCTAACATCAACCTAGGAGGAAATGGTAAACTGTACAATCATTTTAATTAGCCAGTATTGTTTTTAAATTTCTGTGTTTAGCAAGAGGGGAGGTTTGAAGTAAGAAGCTTACAAAATAAAACCTGGATTCCACTGTCTTGGTGGCTTCTTAAAAGGCTCTTTTCCCTCTCAATTATCAAATAATGACTTGAGGGGCTGGAGGTAGTTTAGTGGTTAGAAGCACTTGCTGCCTTGCAAAGAATCCAGGTTCAGCTTCCAGCACTAAATTAGGTAGCTCACAACTGTCTGTAACTCCAGTTCTAGAGGATCTGATGCCCTCTTCTGGCCTCTGCACACATGTGATACACACATATAATTCAGGCACACAGACATAAAATAAATATTTAAATAAAAAAGAATTACCTGAAACAAAGGAAAACAATTATCCACTAAGTGCCTATATCTGAGCACTATTAGATCCTGAATATAAGGAGACTTTTGTTTGAGACAAGGTCTCACTATGTAGCCCAAGTTAGAACTGGTAACTGAGTCAGGTTAGATTGCTATGCTTCTTATGGTCGAGTGGTCTGGATGCTCAGATTAGGGGAAATGCTGTCATGAGTTAGGGGTGAATGGTGATCAGGACAACTGACAAAGAACAGCACAATTTGGCTCAGGAACTTCATGCTAGTATCTCCCCAAATACTTAGTCACAAACAACAGTCTCCAAGAATCATTAGACTACACTGGCTTAGTCTTGTTCTGTCAATTAATCTCAAAATAGGACATACTCAAAAGAGGCAAGCTCTGAAGCAGAGATCCCTTAAGTCTCTATAAGAAACCCTCAAGTTTCTGGCAAGTGATCTGCTGCTCATGTCAAATACAAAGCTCTTCAGGTAACACCTCCAAAGCACACTGCAACTCTGCCACAGACATAACTCCAGTCAGTCCTGACTGTAAATACCAGGAATTACAAGAGCATGCTTCTTCGTCGAGAAGGGCCGTCCCTGTCTGACCAAGAAGTCTGAACTGTGTTATTACACCTCCCTTCACCCTCCACCCCTGGAGCTGTAAATGTCACAGTCCATACTTGCTCCGGGCAGGGGGATGGTTCAGTGCTAGAGAATACACATGCCCAGTATGTGAGAGGCCCTGGCTTCAATCTCCAGTGCTGAAAAAGAAAAAGACAAAATAAAAACAACCCACAAAACCCCTGGTGATAGCCTGAGAAATCCTTACCTGAGTTTGAAGCTGTCAGAACAGAAGGACTCAGCCCAGAATCACTAGAACAAAAAGGAATTTAAACTTAGGTCATATCAAAAAAGGCAATTTCTAAAACCCCCTCATAGGACCGGGAACATTTATCAGGTCACCCAAAAAGAGCCATGGTGAGACTGCATGACATTTCACATGACATCACAGCAAAGAAAATGTATTCTAAAAGGGAAAATTTCCCTCTCAGCATTGCTAAGGACTCTTAACAGAACATCACGAAAGCCACTTGCATCTAAGTGGGGAGAGACATGGGTGAGAGCCTGGGTGAGGCAGGGTTTCAGTGTGCATCCTCCGCTGGCCTGCAACTCCCCCCAGTTCTCCCTCCACCTCCAGAGCACTGCAATTACAGCTGTGTACCACCACAACCTGCTTCAGGGTCACCTTTTTTTTTTTTTTTTTTTTTTTTTTAGGGGAGGGAGTTCAAGACAGGGTTTCTCTGTGTAGCCTTGGCTGTCCTAGAACTCACAGAGATTCACCTGCCTCTGCCTCTTAAGTGCTGGGATTAAATGCATGTGCCACCACTGCCCAGTTCCATTTCTTTTTCTTTTTATTATTATTATTTTTTTATTTCATGTCGATCCCAGTTCCCTTTCCCTCCCTCCCTCTTACCCTCTCCCCCTCCCTCTAACCCTCTCTCCCCCCTCACATGTACCCTGACCACCCTCCCCTCCCACCCCCCCACCCCCATTCCACATGTAGAGCTATGCCATCCAGGTGGGATCATGTAAATTTGTCAAGTCATTTGAAATAGGGACTAGGACTTCTCTCCTGTCTCTAGGTTGAGGCAGTTATCCTTCCATGGGGGATGTGTCCACAAGGTCCTTTTGTGCAACAGGAATACATCCTGGTTCCACTGTCGGAGGTCCCTTAGACTGCTCAGTGTTTCTAGCTGAGACCCATATTCAGGGGTCTGAGTCAGTCCCATGCTGGATTCCCAGCTATCAGTCTGAGGGGCCCAGTTCAATTTCTTAAATCTGTCAGTACTACATTGTTTCTAGATAGACTGGTAAGAATCCTTACTACTTTAACATCCAAGTACACACAAAAATGTTCAAAAATACATGTGAAGGCCCAAGTATCCCAGAAGGAGTGCTTCCTTCGGCCCACCCTAACTGCGTACATGTCAGCCTGCCGGCGGAGCCACTGCTGACATGCGCTACTGTCCTGGATGTACTGGAGAACTTCCGAGAGCATGGTACGTTTAAGACGCTCCTCCTCTCTAGTCTTCTTCAGGTGATCGTATGTCCTGGCACCTGGAGGGATAGAAGACACTTATTTTCAAGGATAACACACAGCCAAAGGGCCTGCTAAGTGAGCTCAGCCAACATTGGCTATGGCAGATTTTCCTAGGAGCCAAGTGTATGCTGAGTCAGAAATATATCATACTTGGTTCTTGTTCTACTTCTTTCATTTGTGAATGGATCGGACCCAGGGCTTTGAACATCCTAAGATAGTGCTATAAAACTAAGCTATAGAGTCAGCTATACATTGAGGACATGAAGACATACATTCTTCCATCAAAACAAATTCCAATTACAACAACAGAAAAGCTCCTTTTGTACTACAACTTTCCTCTATTTCAGAGGCACAGAGAGCAGCACTAGGCAACCAGACTGAGTTATCAGAGTCCATATATGGTATCTTGGGCAACAGAAGAGTTACCTAGTGCTTTCTATACATTAATAAAGTTACACAGATTTCAGACTACCATACCAGTGGCTCTTACCAATTCTAAAGAGACTCAAAGAGCTAGTAAACAGAGAAGCCAGAACATAGCCATAAGCAATCCAGTCTCTCGTTGGCTTGTTTATATAGTGCTGTCTCTGAACACAGGGCCCTGCATGTGTGGTAAACAATCTAACGCTGATGGACACCCCCAGGCCTATGCTGCCTAGTCAGAGCCTTTCTTTATAACCTGGATCTTCTATTAACTAGCTTTTCAATCTTTCTCTTTTTTCTTTTCTTTTAACCCAAGAGATGGTTTCTGTGTAGCCAGGCTGTTCTGGAACTTACTTTGTAGACCAAGGTGTCCATGAATTCACAGATAACCACTTGCCTCTGCCTCCCAAGTGCTGGGGTTAATTAAAGGCATGAGCCAACACTGCCCAGCTCTTTAATCTCTTTGAAGCTCGAGTTCTTCGCTAAATAGAAGTGATGATATCCCTTAAGTTTGTCATGATATACAATGACTTGAAGGTGAAATATATCCTATAGACCTGATACATGTTAAATAAATTATAGATATTTACTGCTATTATTAAAATTATAATCAGCACCTTAAGTAAACTGGATGAAAGCACTTTAGCCCCAGTAGAAGCCTGGTAAACAAAAATGATCATATGCATAAATAAATTTTAAAAGGCTGAGGTTAAAACCTGGAATATAAGAACCACACACCCCACTCCACCTCATTCACGTGCGGTACATGCATGAGTGCGTGCATGTGTGTGCACAGAAAGGGTCTTACTCTGTAGTCCATGGTGACCTAGAATATATACAGACCAGGCTGGTCCCAAATTCAGTGATCTGCCTGCCGCTGCCTCCTCGGTGTTAGAACTAAAAATGTGAGCTAAGATGCCCAGCTAAGACAGCAGATTCCCAATTCTAAAGCAGAGTTTCTTTTTGCTGTGTGCCTTAACTTTTATTTTGTCCTGATAAACTAATGATAGTTATAGGAATTGAATAAACAAAACTTTACTAAGGAAGTTTGTAAACTCATCTGAAAAGGTTGTTTTGTGTGTGTGTGTGTTTTTTTCCCCCCAAGTTTTCAAGATCCCAGAGATTACCTTTTGTACCTATAAGTCACAGGCACTTTGGCACTGTAGGTTGTGAAAGCATACTTACTACAAAAATTGGTAATGCCCGCTGTCCTATATTCTTGGAGCCTCTTGATTTCCCTCCGGAGTTCAAATTCCACTGTTTCCCCAGGAGAACAAAGGAGAAAAATTGGAAAAACAAATCAATGTTAGAGAGCTGGTGGGTACGTGATTCTGTAAAAGGCCAGGTGACTTCATCTTAGGACACTTTTTACTCTGAACATCTCATCAGAAATGCCATCCATAGCCAGGTGATAGAGGCTCACACCTTTAATCCCAACACTCGGGAGGCAGAGATGGATGGACCTCTGTGAGTTCGAGGCCAGCCTGGTCTAAAGAGTGAGTTCCAGGACAACCAAGACTACAGAGAGAAACCGTTTTGAAAAACCACATTTTTTTTTAAAAAAAAATGTAAATATTTCTGATTCCTGTTCCACCTTCTGTGTTAGCGCTTCTACTCACACAACCAAGTTCTTTGATGCAGTTTGCCTCCTGATGAGGCTGTGCTGCACAGGAAGGACAAAGCTTTGTTTAAGCCCTGGTTTCTTTTTAGCACTGCACTTTCCATGAACTAATTGCTGCTGAGCAGACAGCTCAGAACACACAGCTGGGTGATTCTGTGATAGGACAATCCAACCTGGGTGCCTTTCAAACATGTGAAGAAAAGCCATCCACAGGGTGTAGTTCTCTGTAGTGACACATAAGCTGGGAATGATATAAACTAGGACAGGAAGTAAAGGATAAGTCATTCGATACCAATCACACAGAGAATGACAACCAAACAAGGTGTTTCCCGAGGATAATCGGCCTGGCTCAGATAAATGCCTATGATCCTTCCTAAGAAATATTTGCCCCATGAGAGCAGAGGTAAAGCACTTTTCTACAAAATTTCAACATGACAAAAAACTTGCTAGAACTAAACGAAGGAGCCAAATACAATAGCTCTCAGGAGGGGGGTATAGAAATAAGCTCCCAGTGCAGGTTGCCTCAAAGCCTTAGATCTTCCTGCTTAATTACTTCGATTTTTTTTATAGTGGAAAATCCAAGCATAACTGGGATGAGTGCTCTTGGGAACACCAGAGAGGGGGCAGAGGAAGATGGAGGTATTGTTTCCATGAACCAACAACCCTGTTTCCATGACTGAAACTAGTTTTAATGTTAAAATACTTATAAGCAAAACTATGATGTTTGGAATTGGCTTCAAAATAACCAGGACAGGAGGGAAGGGAATTCCCACTCCCCTTCAGATAAAGCTGGACAGGCACTGTGAATCTGGTCACACAGACACAGGGATTCACTGTGTTGTCTCCTTTGCTTCTCAGTACACTTGACAAGTCCTGGAAGAAGTAAAAACGGCTACACATGCTGGCACACACCTGTAATTCCAGTTCTTGGAATACAAAGGCAGGAGGACTGCAAGTCTTAGCTCAGCTTGACTACTCAGAAAGTTCCAGGCCAGCCTGTGCTACACACATAGCAAGGCCCTGTCTTAAAACAAAGATTTAAAACAAATACACCGAAAAGAAAATTAATAAAAACAGAACACAACAATAAAAATCCCCTAAAACAATGAAGAAAAGCCATCTACTAACTTGCAAGTTACCAAGGATTTTCCTCTTTGGTATGTAGGGTTGTGTCTGTGTATGGTATACACATACGCACAGAGGCCAGAGAAGGACATGGGTGTCCTGTTCCATCATTTTCCACCTTATTCTTTTGAGACAGTTTCTTACTGAGCATAGAGCTAAGTGTTGGCCAGCAAACCCCAGCAATACCCATTTCTACCTCCTACAGGCACTATGTGGACAAATACAGATTTCCATATAAGTGTTGGGATCTAAACTTAGGTCTTCATGTTTATGCAACAAGCACTCTTACCCACTGAGCTAGTCCCCTGCCCCTCACTAAGCTTTTAAATCTACACACACACACACACACACACACACACACACAGTTCCAAAAGACACCTACATGCATGGCTCTCAATGAACTTGTCATGTTCCACTGGTCCTACAATCCTTGCAAATCGCCGCATTGTTTCATAAAGGTCTTGAACCTCCTTGGGATACCGCCGTTCCATTACTAGGGAAAAAATGAAGCAAAACATGTTACAGAGAATGTAAGGACTTCTAAGTTTCTGGTATTTTTTTCTAGTTTTTTAAAAATTTAAATTAAAAACAACCTTATTTTACATACCATTCTTAGTTCCCTCTCCCTCCCGTCCTCCTACTCTGGTACCATTTTTTAAAACAAGAAATAAAATGCAAGGACAGTTTCCTAACCTCACAGGAGTAACTCACCCATTACAACATGCAAACAAGACAGCTGAGAATGCAAATCACTAATCATAATTATAGCATCACAGTACCTCACAAAGGAATGCTGTTATCACGGAGATCATCTTTACTACTAAGTACTATTGATGTCCCTGCTCATTTCTTTTAATCTGCATGGGATAGGGCAGTGGACCAGGCACAAGAGGAAAGGGAATTAAAGGGAGGATCTGTGTTATCAGACACAACTCTGGCCAGAATTTTGGTACTGATTATTGCAGGAAAACAAGAAAAGCAAAGACATCCTTCCTGCTGGTGTGGAAGCACAGCCAATAATCCTAGTACTTGGGGTACAGGCAGGAGGACCATCACAAGCCCCAGACCATCCTTTCTCTAGAATACTGACTTCCAAGCCAGCCACTGCAAATAGCAAAACCTTGTCTCAAAAAACAGAGCAAAAACAAAGAACACCAGAAAAGATCAATTAACCTGGAACTATATGCCTATCTCATCTGGAATATCCTGTGTGACAAGTTGATTTGAGCAGCACCAGGGAAGGCGCAATCCCAACTGTGAGGAATCCCCAACCCCTTTGATTTTTTTTTTAACAATTTTTTTTTTTGTTTTAAATATGCACAAGTGTTCTGTCTGCATGTATGTATGTGCATCACACATGTACCCACAGAGGTAAAAAGAGGACATCAAATCCCCTGGAACTGAAATAATAAATAGATGGTTGTGAGCCACCATGTTGGTGCTGGGACCCAAACCTTGCCCTCTGCAAGAGCAGCAAGTGCTCTTAACTGCTGAGCCATCTCTGCAGCCCTACAAAAATGTTTTTATAACCCGAGACCAAGGTTATGTTTAACACATCATTTCAAAATATGACTGTCTAGAAAATGATCCATTAATATTCATGCTGTAATTACTATAACAATTAATTATTACACAATATTGTTGTCTATAAATGAATAGCTCTTCACTGTCACTGTGGATCAGAGTTGCCTTAAACACTTTTGGTTTTGGTCCATTTTGGTTTCTGTACAAGGGATCAACATCACTGAAAACATGTTAGACACCCCTCTACTACTGAGCTACCCCCAAGTCTTGCGTCAGAATTTTCAAATCTTCCTATGTAATGCTAGCTAGCATGCAATGTGAATTATGAGCACTCCCATAAAGAAAAATCAGCTCATACTCACATCGGAACTTTCTAAGGTTGACTAATCCATGATCTCTTATAATCCTAGAATGAAAAAGCATAATAATCTATGTTAAAAATAAGTTTCAAACTTAATGTCTTCTACATGTTACAGTTTTTATTATACATCCTAACTATTAAGAAGTAGAATATCAGGGTCCAGAGAAGTCTCCACACATTTCTGGATTAGCCTCTAAATGGAGAATCACACACAGTCTTTGAGTCGTAGAGGACTCTCACAGATGATTCAATTACCAGTGGCAAATGCTGAAAGAACATGTGTTTGTCAAGATGGTTCAGAAGGAAATCTGTCAACATCATGAGACTAATTTACACAATTTGTAGAAATGATAATGAAGATCAGTCATTTAAGGGAAACTACTAGCCACAAAAATACACACTGATCATACATTAAACATTCACAACCATATATGCACACACTCTGAAGCCACTGACCTTGTTTAAATGGAAGATCATTATAAAATATAAGATTTAACAGCAACTGTCAACAACCGCTAAGTTCTGCACATGGTAAGCCACAAGTGGAGTGTTCTTAGACAAGATGCACCCAACAGGCCAGAAAAAACAGGGTGGCTTTTCTATACTTACTTTTTACGTCTTTGCCTCTCTTTTAATCTGGAATGATAGATATCTACCACAGCCATCTTCAGAGCTATAAATACAAACACACATATAAATATGTTAACCCAGAGTTTTGCTATACGGGATGGCTTTGAACTTAAAGCATCTTCCTTCTTGCCTCTGGTTCCTGAGAGCTGGGATTATAAGCATTTACCACCATGCCTGGCTTACCCTAAACTTAACTATTTCATGAAAAATATCCCAGCACACTAAATTTCTCTACAAGTAAATAACAATTTCATTATTTTGTTAGCACTGGTAACCAAACCAGACCAGACAAGTTCTCCAGTTCAAAAACAAGTGTTGCTCTGACTGCAGGATTAAGCTCAAGAGACAATGACAGGGCAGCACTGATGGATGATGTTGGCATGTTCCTAGAGTAACATTTTCAGTTGAGTGACAGCAGCTGTTTACAGTGCTGACTTTTGCATTATGATGAAAAGATGTATTAAGCAGCTTACTTGCCTACTCTTGTCCCAACCCTTTCTAGCTTTAGTCTCAGGGTAAACAAGAGGTGAGCTCTTTCCTTTCTTACTCTGCCATGCTATTCCCATCTTCAAAGTCCTTAAGGTTTCTGTTCTGGCCTCTCTTTCACTCCTCACTTCATTCCTACAAGCTCTTTGGCTCCCAGGGTTCCAAGTTCCATCAGACTATACTATCTAAAACTCTCACAACTATTTTAAGCATCACATCCTTTTGGATATCCCTATTTACATGGCTTCTATTGCAATCTTACATATTCTGCCTCTTTCCCATCTTATAATGTTTACCTTGGTTAACAGCATTACAGTAAAGCTAGTTGTCTAAGACAGAAACCAACATGGAACTTCTTTCCCCTCTTCCTATATAGCTAGCTAGAGTCTTATCGAAATATGTAATGTTTCCGCTACTATCTGTCTAATACTATCAACTCAGGCATCTTGTCATCCTGATGCCTCCTTACAGAAGTATATTATCAGACTTACTGACTACAGTCCTTGCCTTCTTTAACTCCCTTCCTCCAAATGGGACTAAGAGTATTATTTTACAACAAAGGAAACTAGTTCCTTTGCTTCCAATTCTTCAGCTACGTGCCCCCACTCCCCAGCTCAAAATCTTCACGGTTTAAATGGCCTTCCATTGTCTTGTTTACTATCATTCCCTCATAGGCACTCTAATGAAGCTGGGCATGGTAGCTCAAGCCTTTAATTCTCTGCACTTGGAACACAGAAGCAAGTGGATCTGTGAATTTGAGGCCAGCTTGGTCTACAGACTGAGTGCCAAAACAGCTAGGCTACAAAGAGAAATCCTGTCTCAAAAAACAATGAGCCTTCCACATGTTGGCTATCTGTTAGTGGCTTTACTTTCTTTGTTACCCCTATCCTAAATCTGGCTCATTAATAGTATATTAAGAAAAAAAATTAGTTTTTAAAAATAAACCCCACAGGCAGTTTATAATTAGAAGACCTCTAGGGTTACAAAATGAAGACTAATTATTAGCAATTCTAGAAGAAACCACGAGTAAGGCATAACAGCAGTACACTGCTTAATAACCACCCTTTGGTTTAGAGTCTGAAAGCACCTTAATTTAATGACTTCAGTACATTCTGGAACTATCTTAAGAAGTTGTTACCTCCTTAAGCTTTGTGTAATGTAGAGTGTGTTCATTATTGAATACATTCATGGAAGGAAGAAGTCCCAGTACTGCAAAGCAACCTGTCACATGTCTTCTGAACAACCGAAGTATACAATCCAAGTGTCAGGAAATATAATCTTTAAAAACAGACCAGTTTTTCTATCAATGAATTTGACTATGTATGGGAATATACATTTATCGCCATTCCAAATTAGAGCCCAGAGCCCCTGGAATGCTGGCAATACAATCTCATCTTCACCCCTACTATAGAGGTCCAAGTTCAAGGTTAGCCCAAGATGGCAATGAGTCATGTCCTATTAATTTTAAACACTTTATTCATACAAAACCTTACTAAGTGCAGTAAATCAGACCTTATCTGGCTGAACCTTCTCCTCAAGGCCCAGCTACCTTTCCCAGCAGTAGTCCCCTCCACACAGAAAGTTGGAAATCCACATTTCTACTCAAACCACACTATATGGTAGAAGGCAAAAAAGACCAATGAAGTACAGGATATAATGACTTCTTTTATTATATGAAGGGAAATAAAAGTCTCAAGCTATGTACAATCCTGGAAGGTTGGGGGCAATATAATAAATTTTAGCTGGGCATGGTAGAACATATATGCAATCCTCCTAACACTTGGAAGATAGTGACAAAAGTATTAGCATTCCAGTCCAGCCTATGCTATATGAAAACTTGTCTCAAATATAAATAAATATATATGTACACACACACACACACACACACACACACACACACAAACACGGAGATAGATGGGTTTTCAAATTTTTAGGCAACAAACTTCTGGGTCTTTCTCTCTCTTTCATTTCTTTCTTTCTTTTTGGAGACACTCTTATGTGGCTCTGGCTGGCCCTGAACTCACCAGGACCTTGTTGCCCTCAAACTCACAGAGATCTGCCTGTTTCTGCCACTCCAGTGCTGGGATTAAGTCGTGCGCCACCACTGCCTGGCAGCATCACAAACTTTTAAGAATGAAACCTCTTGATTTGGAGCTGGTTCCATATAACAGCCCTGCCCCTCCAGGGTAAGGGACACCCTGCCTCTGTTTAACAGAGGGTTGGCAGGCAGGCTGTGGAAGAAGAAGGGGATCTGAAAGGAAGAGAGGAAGTGTCTCTGACATGTAGCAGGAACACATACAAAGTTTATAATGAAGTTTCTTACGAAAATGGAAGGACTGAGAAGTAACAATTCCAAACCGAACGGAACAAAAGTAATAATAGTGGAAATACTTGGAGAACTCACATTTATGTTCTTTAAATCTTTTACTTCATTTATCTATTTAGATAAGTTCTATACAAAAGAAGTATATTGGAGATCAGTGCAAATTAGGGATACTTTTTTTTTTTTTTTTTTAGTTTTTCAAGACAGTTTTCTCTGTATAGCTTTTTGTTGTTGTTTGGTTTTTTGAGACAGGGTTTCTCTGTATTGCTTTGGAGCCTGTCCTGGAACTAGCTCTGTAGACCAGGCTGGCCGCAAACTCACAGAGATCCACCTACCTCTGCCTCCCAAGTGCTGGGACTAAAGGCATGTGCCACTACTACCTGGCATAAATTAGGAATACTCTTTATTAAAACATTTCTATAATTTTGTAAAACACTAACTTTACCTACAACATGGTAAAGACTTATGTGGAAATGCCTACATTAACACAGAATAGGCCTTGAGACTGTACTACAGAAACAATCTATACATAAGTATTGCTAACCACTGGTTGTATTATTGCTTGATAATTTCAGTGCCACTGGCTCCAGGCAACAAGGAAAGAAAAGAAACAGCAGCAATGGAAGGAGAACTGGAATTCTCCCAGAGAAAAATCAGTATCTGAGACTGCCCCTTTCCTTGTAAAGCACACTCAACAGCAAAGAATGCAAGAGCTTAACAGCATGAACAATCCAGGGAGGACAGAGCAGGCGCAGTGAGACATTCCACTCCAAGCATGAGTTGCCAGGCAAACCGGCCAGAGACCACTAAATAGAACCACCCAGAATGTACCACTGACACCAGGCCCTGAAATCTCAGCTCCAGGGAAAGAATAGTGGCCCTGTGATTACACTGGGAACTGATAGTTTCCAAAGGACTGGCCTTAAAATACTTTAAGAAGTGGGCAGAAGACAGAGGCAGCTCCTTCCCACTGCAATGTATTTCTAACATTGTTCAAAATAGCTAGCAACATGTTTCTGTTTTCTTGACAGAAGGCACTTACTGCTTGCTTGGCAAGAAAACTGAGAGGACTGAGCTTCATAGAGCCACCAGAATCCTCACTGCAAGAGCACAAACACAGTCAGACCTGTGACTCAGGTAATCCCCAGAAGCAAAGCTTTCTAAATCACAATTATAATCCCAGATTTGGGAGGCTGAGGCAGGAGGATTAGGTTCAAGGTCATTCTCCACTTGAGTCCACCTTGTGTAATAAGAGACTCTGCCTCAAAAACAAAACAAACAAACAACAACAACAACAACAAAAAAAACCCAAAAAACAAAAACAAAAAGGGGGATGGTGGTGGTAGTGGTGACTGAATAGGTAGATGGTTCAGAGGTCTGAGGTCAAGAGCCTAGCACCCATATCTGGAAGTTCAAAACAGCTCGTAACTAAACCCAGCGTGGTGTCACTCGCCTTTACTCCCAGCGTGGAAGACAGAGGCAGGTGGAGCTCTGTGAGTTTGAAGCCAGCCTGGTGTAAAAAGCAAGTTCCAGGACAGCTAGAGCTATTACACAGAGAAACTCTGTCTCAAAACAACAAAAAGCTTATAAATCAAGCTCCAGGAGATCTGACATTCCTGACACCTGTAGGTACCTGTACTCACATGCACACATAATTAGAAATAGTAAAAATAAAGCTGGGTAGGCACTTTTGAGATAGGATCTCTATGTAGTCCTGGCTGTCCTGGAACTAAATACACAGACCAGGCAGACCTCAAACTCAGAGATCCTCCTGTCTCTGTTTCCCAAGCGCTGGAATTAAAGGTGTTTGCCACCCCATCATGAATAAAATAAAGAGGCAACTGCATAGTGGTGCCTTTAATTCTAGCACTCAAGTTTCAGGACAGCCACTGCTACACAGAGAAACCCTGTCTCAAAAAACAAACAAACAAACAAAAACAAAACAACAACAAAAAGATGCTAGGGAGAGGCTCTGTGCGTAAGAATGACTGTTAGGAAAGCAAAAGGACCTGACACCAAATCTATAGACCTCATGTAAAAGCTGGGCATGGCTGCATGCGTCTGTAATAGCAGAGACAGATCCTGGGAGCTAGCCTAGCTAAAATGGAAAGTTTCCGGTTCAGTGAGAGAATGTCTCAAAAACAGAAGGGTGGAGAGTGATCGAGGAAGACACCTGGCATCTTCCTCTGGCTTCATCATGAACACACATGGGTATGTGCACCACATACACACGTACACACACACTCTGTTCCTTCAAAAACATACTAAAATAGGGCTAGGTGTGGTGGTGCACACCTTTTATCACAGCACTTGAGAGACAGAGGCAGACAGATCTCTGAGTTCGAGCCAGACTGATCTTCAAAGTGAGTTCCAGGTCAGTCAGGGCTACACAGAGCAACCCTGTCTCAGAAAACAAAAAATAAATAAGATAAAAATAGTCATCTTGCTCTTGTAAGCTTTTGGCCAAGATGCAGAAAATTAATTGACCTAATAGTTAAAGTCAGCTAGTAGGAAGACAGAGGCAAATTACTTAACTTTACATAGTTATTTAAATGTAAAAAGGGAACATTATCTATTCCTATCTCAGTGTGGTACAGCTATACAAGACTACAAATGTGGGCGGGGGGAGAGACAGTAACAAATTAAGGATGTGAAGAGTGGACGTCGTAGGTGTGGTGACTCTTGCTTGGATTCTTAGCACTTGGAAGGCCAGCACTTGGACGACCATAGTTTGAGGACAGCTTAGACTATAGTGTAAAATAAATAAATAAAAACTAGGGCTGAAGAGATAGCTCAGCAGTTAGGAGCACTGGATGTTCTTCCAAAGGACCTGGACTCAATTCCTACCACCCACATGGCAGCTCACAACTGTTTGAAACTCCAGTTCTAGAGGATCCTATATCTTCATACCAATGCACATAAAATAAAGTTAAATAAATTATTATAAAAATAAATAAAATATAAGGGCTGTGAAATGGTTCAGTGGGTAAAGACACAGCACCAAACCTGATAATATGTGTCTGATCCCTGAAACTTACATGATGGAAAAGAGAACTAACTCCTGACTTCCATATTGGTGTCATGGCATACACACATGTATACACATACATACATACATAAGTAAACAGATATTAATCACCACCAAAAAAAAAAAAAAAGGACAAAAACTAAGCAAACAAGCAAAAAACCCCACACCAACAAAAACTAGATAGTATTATTCAATACTAAGAACACACTGTGGGGATGGCTCTGCTATTTGCTGCCTGAATATAGCTGGTGAGTACTTGACCTTTCCATGCTCCAATTTCTTCATTTGTAAAATAGAAATAATGGTAACTTTCAACTCATAGGGTTCTGTAAATATTACATGATTTCACAGAGCTGGGTGAGGTGGCACACACCTACAAGCCCAGGCTAAAGCAGAAAGATAAAGAGTTTGAGACCAGCCTGGATTATATAGCAACACCCTGTCCCAATAGAGAGAGGAAAAAACAAAAAAAGGGCTTAAAATGGTACCTGGCAAACAGTAAACAAAATATGTGTTAGCTATTATTAGCTATTATTATTATAGTATTTATACCTAAACTGCTTTATGCATATACAGCTGGATTGCTATAAAACGAGGAACAGTAACAAGTGACTGCAGTGGCCAGCCGGACCTCTGGTATACAGTTAAGGGTCTGAAACTGGGAATTTAAGTCAAAGAAATACACTCTGAAAAATAAAAAGGGTCTGAGAAGGGAAATTAGTGAAAGTTTGGCATGGTGGCACATGAATGAGACATCAGTACTTGAAAAGCAGACAGGCACAATAGAGCCCAAGACAGCCTGGTCTACATAGCAAGTTCTAAGACAGCCACAGCTACAGAGAATCTGAAACCAACCAGCAAGAGGAGCGAGCACAAACTGTAATAATGTGTAACCCTGAGAAGTACTGAAAACAGGGACTCAGCACATAGTGCTAATGCCTCCAACTTGCCTGCTCATGGGACAAGAACAAGAAATATGCTCTATCCATAAGCTTTGAACCCTGGACACTTAGGGGAAAGGGTTGTCCACACATTTAAAAAGATTTTTGCAGATAAATGGAGGTAAGCATCTGCCTGGAAATCGCACAATGTCACAAGACCAGAGTGCTGAGTTAATGAGTCTTGTTTTTTCCTGAATCAGCTTATTTCAACAAAGTAGGAGATGATACCACTTACAAGATTGCAGAACTTCCTTATTTTTCTCAGACATTGCTTCACTGGACATGCCTTTCTTAGGCCCATGCTGGGAACTTTCTGGTATAGTTGGAATGCAATTAACTATCCCTCTATTGTATCTTATGCTTCTGTAATGGACCACAAAGCCAGCTTTATTGGACAGATTCCACGAATCAATGTAAATCTTTGGGTGACACAAAGAAAGTTTATTAGCATAAACCTGCATTCCTTCTAGTAGTTATGAGTGAGAGAACCTAAAAAGAATGTTGTTAATGCCCAGTCAAATTAAGAATACAATGGTATAGAATAACAACACCAATCTGCATTGCACACCATTATTCACTGGAAACATGTACAGCCTGACTAATCAGGGTCACTCATTCTTTACCGATATGTGACACAGAGAAACAGCAAGCAGAACTCCAAAGACTTGCCCAAGATTCTACAATGACTCACAAGCAAGCCCAAGCTTGAATCAATGTCCTGATTCTCATCAATTTGTGCCCCTCTGTGTGCCAGATATGCCTTAAAAGCTCCCTGTTCCTTCTCCAGCCTTCCTGGTCTCCTGGAACCCTTCATTTGCTGTTCTAAGAGATGGCTGGGTGCAACATTTGCCAGCCATAGACATGCTGCCAGAGAAGCTACTGTAAGAGCTCAGAGCCATAAAAAGTCATCTTTATGGTGCTGCCAGGACAGTTGATCTCCAGTGCTTCTGAAATAGTCTCTTTAAAGGCACCTATTTGAATTGGGAATTAGTGGCACAGGCCTTTGATCCCAACACTTGGGAGGCAGAGGCAGGAGGATCTCTGTGAGTTCAAGGCCAGCCTGGTCTACAAAGCAAGTTCTAGGACAGGCTCCATAGCAATACAGAGAAACCTTGTCTTGAAAAACCAATCCAAACAAACAAACAAAAGGGCCTATTTGTATTGAGTTCTGTTGGAAAGCCTTGCTGGTCAGAAGTCACAGTCCAGCATGGCCTGGCAGTTTTTTTCCAAAGCTCAACGTCATGCATGGGAACTCCCTCCCTAGCGAGATTTCCTGCTCTCTACCTGCCCTTATCTGGAGAATAACTGTGGGCCCAAAGGATAGGCCTTATCTGAAAGCTGTCTCTATGCCTGGGTACCTGATTTATCTTTTGGTTTTGTTTTATTTTTGCTTTTTGAGACAGGATTTCTCTGTGTAACTGTTCTGTCTGTCCTGGAAATAGCTTTGTAGACTACACTGGCCTCAAACTCACAAGAGATCAGACTGACTCTGCCTCCTGAGTGCTGGGATCGAAGGTGTGTGCCACCTCTGATTTATCTTTGGCATGACCCTTGGTACAGTTACCTGCTAGAAGCCTCCCCTATGCACTATGGCAACTAAGACTTATACTAGGAGCTTTGCTATAGACCCTGATGCCACGTAAGAAAGCTTACGAAAGGACCGTGCCACTTAATGTAAATTAGAGTTCGTCCCTAGGCTTCCCAATCCTATTAAATATTTCCGATACACTGGAATAAAGCTAAGCTGATTCACTGAAGTAATCTTGCAGAGACTCACAGGCATCTGACCCATTTCTGCTCTCTCCACCCCCATGAACCAATGCACCAACAACCCAGAGGAAGAAGCAGAACCACAACCACAGTATATCACACAGTTCACAACCCTCCATCTCCAGTGTGGGGAAAGTCAATGTGCCCCACAGTGACTGTTACACTTGGGAGGTGGACATAGGAGAACCAGGAGTTCAAAATCATTTTGACTCTAAGGCAAGACTGAGACACATCTCCATTTTTAAAAGGTGGTGCAGGGGGAATAGTTCAGTTGGTAAAGCTCTTTCTTCTTAATCTGAACCTACATAAAAGGAAAGTGGGGCTGGGTAGCACATACTTCTACTCCTGGCGAGACTATCGTATCTTCAGGGCTCACTGGCTATCTAGTATAAATAAAATAAAATAAAATAAAATAAAAGTACAGCACCTGAGTAATGACACCTGAGGCTGCCCTCTGACCTCCAGATATGTGTGTACAGGTACACACACACACACATCACGAGTACAAACGTATATCTAAGTAACAACAACAATAAATTTAAAATTAACAATTCTGAGAAACAGGAATTCCCAATTTTGACCTAAAGGTCACCTTTGAAGAATGACCATTTCCTCCTGATAGCATACTCCTTTAATGCTTGCACCTGTGAAGCAGAGGCAGGAGGAGCTCTGTAAGCTCCAGGCCAGCAGAATTGTCTATAGAGTGAGTTCCAGGACAGCCAGGGCTACATAGAGAATCCCTGTTTTGAAACAAAACAAAACAAAAGGAAATAAAAATTAGAATGACCATTTCTTAACTATATGTTCATAAATGATGATGAACACTTAGTATTTGTAGTTGTAACTGAAACCCAAGGTCTGTTTACTATTTTCCTACCATCTAAGGAAGCAAGGGCCACTTAATTACCTCTACATAGGCTTCCCTCAGCCCAAGGGACTGGACAGTCTCAAGTACTATTATGTAATCAATATTTTTTTTTCCGAGACGGGTTTCTCTGTATTGTTTTGTAGCCTGTCCTGGAAATAGCTCTGTAGACCAGGCTGGCCTCAAAGTCACAGAAATCTGCCTGCCTCTGCCTCCCGAGTGCTGGGATTAAAGGTGTGCGCCACCTATGGCCGGCAATCAATATTCTTATTATCATCATAAGTCATTCAAATGGGCCAAAAACTTGACAAGAGGGTAAGTTCAGTAACTTAGCTACTAGATTTTGGTTTTTTGTAGTGCCTGAGTCCAAACTAGGGCCTAGGGTACTGTCTGCCACTGAGCCATATCACCAGCCCAACCACTAGGCTCTGAATTTGCTAAGGGCAGAGGACAAGTTTTATTAATCCTTATATCCCACCACAGAGCACAGAGTCATCAATACTTATACTCAATAAGCATGTGATAAACATTACCATGTAAGATGTCTGAGTCGTCTTCAACAAAATCAATGTCTCTTAAGTCCCATTCTGCGTAATTGTCAAACTCCTGTTAGAGGGGGAAAAACATCCAAACCCAACAGTTTTGAATAATGCCTTTACAATAGCTATACTTCAGGGGCAAAATAAAATTCTTGAGCCAATGCTTGCTAAGTACTAAATTGGATAAAAGGCAAAGATACTGCTCTAGGGGGAAAATGTGAGAGACTTCTAGGCAGTCATGAAAACAAAGAGCTGGGATAGAACAATATTAGGAACAAAGCCAAGCCTATTGTTTAAAAACGTTTAATAGTCTGCTCATTCCAAAGAGAATCTTTTTAGGTCTTCAAGTATTCTGGTAAGAAAGCTGTCTGCATTAATTCATTTTATTTTTACCACCCTTTGAGAGATTTGTTTAGCCCTAATATCATCTATACACTAAGATCTGTTCAATCTATTAGAGGACAGTCCAGAGAAGAGGATGACTGTGGAGTAGCTCTGCACTACCACCTGCCATGAACGAAATGCCCAACTAGGTATGGCAAGTTGGGCTCTAGTGTAACATCCCTATCTCTAAGAGCACTGCCGACATCAGATAGCAAACTAAATTTTCTGTTTTTGTTTGAGACAGATTTGCAATGTGTAGCCCTGACTATCCTGGAAGTCACTCCATAGACCAACCAGGCTCGTCTTGAAACCACAGAGGTCCACCTGCCTCTGCCTCCTTAGTGCTGGGATTAAAGGTGTACATCACCATCACCACCTGGCTGCAAATTAAATTCTTTGACTACTTCCACATTTATTATTATTTTTTTAATTCCATGGCTAAATGCAAAAATAGTTTTAATGAAATAATTTTTTTCTACGAGACAGCATTTCTCAGTCCTGGTTGTCCTGGAATTTGCTTTGTAGATAAGGTAGGCCTCAAACTCACAGACATCTGCCTGCACTACAGGTCTGGTGCACTACAGATCTGCACCAGTACACTCAGCTTAATGGAATAAATGGACACATTCATACATACAATGCAAGACTCAGCAACCACTCCTCAGCCCACTGCCTACTTGGGAAATAAGCTTTCATTGGAAGACAGAAATATCCATTTATTTATATCTATTCTCTCTCTCTCTCTCTCTCTCTGTCTGTCTGTCTCTCTCTCTCTCTGTCTCTCACTCTCGACAAGCTCTCACTACACAGCCCAGGCTTATCTCAAACTAAAACTCAAAATGCTTCTGTGCTATTTTTACACAATAACAGCCAAGTTTGGTTGCAACAGAAACTTAATAATTTTAAAAACTTAAACTGTAGGCTGGCTCTGATATAGCACAACTTTGGGAACTCCTTGCTAAGGAATGACAACTGCAGAGGCGGGTTCCTCCTCAGAACTTTTACTACTCCCTCCCCAGGTGGTCACAATGGGAAAAGGAAAGGCCTGGAAAATGATAGTGCCTTGAAAAAAAATCTCCCTTTCATGAGAGATAATAACCTCATCAGAAACAAATTAAGTTTTTCCTTATTGTATGCTACAAACAAGTTTTTGTTACCTCAATGAAATCTGCCCGAGCTGGCATGTATCCCGCCATGTCCCGAGACAACAATGAGTCAAAGGCAGGCCGGGGAGGGTCATCTGCAGCTGAAACAAACAATGGGTTTTTCTTAATAAGTAAAACATTGATATTAAAACAAATTAATGTCTTTATTTATAGTTTGGATTTAAAAACAAAAACAAACTGTTGTAGAATATTTGTTTACACTGTGAAGATGGGTCTTTGCCATCTTCTGATTGGCTTAATAAAGAACTGAATGGCCAATGTCTAGACAGGAAAAGGTTAGGCAGGACTTCCAGGGGCTGAAAAGACTGTGAAGAAGACAAGGTCCACAGCCACACCCGGGGAGGAAACTTGGGGTGCAAGATGGATGAGAGGTAACACCATATGGCAGAACATAGATTAATATAAATGAGTTAACAAGTTATAACAGCTAGTTGACAAGCCTAAGCTAAAGGCCAAGCTTTCATAATTAATAAGTTTCTGTATCGTTATTTGTGAGCTGTTGGCCAATGAAAAGGGTTGTTAATTCAACAAACAACCCACTCCCACAAAAGAAACAAAAACCACCAACAAAAACAAAACAGAGTTTCTCAGAGTATGAAGGCACATACCTTTATCCTAGCACCTGAGAGGCAGAAGCAGGAGGATTAGATCAAGGTCATACTTAGCTACACAATGTGTTCAAGGCAATGCCAAAATATATGAAATGAAGGCAGGGTATCACTACATAGCTGAGGGTGGCCTCAAACTCTCGTAATTCTCTGCCTCAGCTGGGTTACAGTGTGAGGTACCACATCTTACTCTGAAACACTTCTTTGAGAAAAAGGATCTAAGAATAAAGTTTTATAAGAATGAAAAGGTAATTACGAATAAAACAAATAGCTTCTTTTTCTTTTTCATTTTTTTTTTTTTGTTTTGTTTTGTTTTTTGTTTTGGAGATAGGGTCTTCTCTCTATGTAATCCTGGCTGTCATGGAACTTGCTAGGTGGACTAGACTGGCTTTGAATTCAGAGATCCACCTGCTTCTGCCTCCCAAGTGCTGGTGTTGTTATTATTTCATGCCGAGACAGAAGTTTCAAATTCATTGTATATCCAACACTACTTCCAAACTCCCAATCCTCATGCCTCAGCTTCCCAAGTGGCAATCATGGGGTTAATGTTTTGTGCCACCATGCACACCAAACCCTAGACTGATTTCCTAATGAAAGAAATTAAGTCTGAAAGGAATCCTCCCCAAACATCCTCTTATTTGCATGTATTTGTGCAGGCAGGCATGTATAATGGAATGCCCTCAGAGGTCAGAGAACAACTTGCAGAAGTCTGTTCTCTTCCTCCACCATCTGGGTGCCAGGGATTGAATTTAGGTCAGACTTGGTGGTAGCTGCCTTTCCCTGCTGAGCCACCCTGTAGCCTTGCCCTCTGATTTTTGCTTTCCCAAAATGATTGAAAATTAAACAAAGGTATTTTCCTTCAGTGTTGTACAGAACTCAAGTATCCTGTCAATGTCCTGCTCCTTTGATCTTTTGGACCACTATCAACTTACAGATCTCATCCAACCAAGAAGCAAAACATCCTGGATTTTGAAGTTAATCAAACGGGGTCCCAATGCCAGCCTACAATAGTTCTAAAACTTTGTACAAATTGTTCAACTTTTTAAAAACCTCAGTTTCCTTGTGTGTAACGCAAAAGCATCCACTCTATTTATTCCACTGGGTTGCTGTTCAGAACAAATAGGTCTAGAGGACTTGAGGAAAGTGCTGACATCCAGACTGCTATCCAAGCAGGAGGTTATCGGCAACCTCTATGGCAGTCAACTACAAAGCTGTTTCCCAGAAGTGAGGAAAGGCACGCCTGTGGGGAAGCATGCTTATACCACTGGTGTACTGGGGCCATTCATGGAAGATGCTTGTTTGTAATTCATCAGGTTCTGGTTACACTGTATTAAAAGATACACTAATCTCCACAGGCATACACGATTAAAAAAGATTGCCTTCACTGTCATAACCAGGTGAATAAAAAGAACAAATTACTCCTTGGACTTAACAATGAGGCAATAATGGATCCTGGTAAGCAACTCCTACCTTATTATAAACAATCCAAAGGGATGTGAATAAGGCTTGTAACGAAGACAGCACAGATAGATTGGCCCCCTTTTGGACATAACATCTTATAGAAGCAATCACTAATTAGTGTTAACAAATATATTGCAAGAGATCCAGAGTGGAAGGCTGCAACTGTGACCTCTGTGATGTGCTCTCTTGCCATATCTGAGCCCTGACTCAATAGCTATCATACCAAACTCCTCTTACCTTCCAGAAGCTCTTTATCTGTCCAAGTCATCACATCACTGTTTATCTGCTATGGAAACAGAGCCCAAGGACGGGCTAAGTACCTCTTACCCAAATAGGCATGCACTTACAGTGAAATGGAATGGCCGTGTCAGCAGTTTTGGCTGCTTCAGCTTGCTTCAGACTTAGCAGAGTGGATGCAAACAGAGGGTTATTGATGAAATGCTTCAGGTAGTGCTTTTCACACTCCTCTTTGGTTTTGGTACACATCTGATTAGCTACATCCTGCCTAGAACAATGTGGAAAAAGAGTGGAGAGAGTAGTTTTCTTACTGATATAGACCACTGAAAGCTTGGTTTCATTCCATATTTGTCGTCAAACCAACATAAAGTCAATAATCTTTTACCTCCAAGTAGGTGTCAGCAAAACAACAGTGAGACAGATATATCACTGATACTCATGCCATCTGATGTTCCAAATCTTGCTACTTCAAGACAGAGAAACAATAAAGGGACCTTTCCTTCTCACTGGAAGGAAGATGACTACTTTTTGACCCATACATTTCCAGGCTGGGTATGTATGAAGCCCAGACATGGTGGTACACACCTGTAATCCCAATACAAAGGAGGCAGAGAAGTGTCAGGAATTCAAGGTCATCTTTGGCTGCATATTGTGTTCAGAGGCCAGTATGAGATAGACACATGAAACCCTGTTTCAAATATCATCATCAACATCACCTATAAATTTCTCTGAGGTAGGCCAGAGAAAATAATGTTATAAACAAGAAGCCAGCTTGGAGTCAGGAAATGGTGGCAATGACTATAATATCAATATGGGGGAGGTAGAGGTAGGCACTCTGTGAGCTTAAAGTTCCAGATCAGCCAGGGATATAGAATGAGACAATGTCTTTAAAATAAGAGGCCAGGTGTTGTGGCTTATGCTCTTAATCTTAGAAATTGGGAGGTAGAGGCTGGAGGATCTCCATGAAACCCAGGCCAGCCTGGCCTATATACTGAGTTCCAGGACAGCCAGGACCACATAGAGAGAAACCTACCTTAAAAACAACAAACAAAACCCAACAACAACAAAAAACCAAACAGCCCCCCCTCCAAAATATGGAAGGAGAGAAGCAATTCTTGCAAGTTGTCCTCTGAACTTCACATGCATGTGCCCATACACATAAACTATAATAAATGTGACTTAAAATTATTTTAAGAAGGCTGGAGAGCTGTCTCAGCAGTGGTCAACAAGTGCCTGTAACTCTACTCACTCCCTTTTCTGGCCTTTTTAGCATGTGAACATGAATGACAAACACTTACACAGATATACACACACCTAATAAACAAACAAACAAAAAAGCCCTTAAAAAACTTCAAAGATCATCAGTAATAATTGAAAACATCTTGGAATATACAAAATGTACAAAAATGACAGGCATGGTGGCACACACCTTAAATACCAGCACTTGGAGGGTAGAGGCAGGTGGATTTCTGTAAAATTGAAGCTAGCTTGGTTTTCTAATAATTCCAGGCCACCAGGCAAGAGCTACATGGTGAGACTCTGTCTAAAAAAGTATATAAATCTAGTTTTATTTCTGCATGTTTTATAGTGTACAAAACACACGTCATAAGCAGATTTCATTAGAATTCCTATGGATATATGCAAGGCACTGAGATACAAATACCCAGACATAATTTAAGACCATTTTAGTATCAGCCTTGTAGTGTATTGTTATTTTTGTTTCACAGCCTTGTAGTGTATTGTTATTTTTGTTTCACAGAATTAAAAAAAAAAAAAAGATACCTAAGAGATAATATACTTGCTAAAGAAGACAAAGCCAGAATTTATACTAAGACTGATGACTTCTACCTCCAGTGATACAAGCTCAGTCTTACAGATCCCTCCCTAGGGCATCACTATGATGCTGTTTATTTCAGTCAACTACAGACAGTTTGATTTCCTTAATAGGTAAAGAGCCCACATGAGGACAGGAACCTAAATTTTTGTGCTCACCACGAAGCCAAATTCCTTATCCACACTGGATACAGAAGCAACTAGATTATCCTAGGTGGTGATGGGGATTGAACCCAAACACCTCACACATCCTGAGAAAAAGCTCCAACACTGAGCTATCTATCTCCCCAGTCCAGCAACAGACTTGTTCCTAGTCTTTGCTAAGAAGGAAGGAAGATGAGGGGTACTGGCCGACTTTAGAGAAAAAGTAAAGCCTTGGGCAGAAATGACTAATAAACTGCTAACAAGTGATCTTTGGTACTCTCCACAACATACAGCATTTTTATGATGTGTAGGTGCTAAAATGAATGGAAACACAATGTCAGCTGAGCTCTGGTCTGTCTCTTGACTCTGAACATATGGAGGGCAGCACCCCTAATAACAAGAAGTACTATGAGCAGTAGCATCCAGGGAAGATCCAGTAGTTTCCTTCACTACCAAGATATGAAAAACAAGAAAGAGTTTAACTCCCTAAGATTCAGGTGCTTCATGAACAAAAAATATGCTTAATAACATCTCTACTGTCTAGTTTACAAAACAGAATTATCAGCATGAGTGTGTCAAATTGTAAAGTCTTGAAATTAACCTCCAGATGAAGTGAGACTTTGTCTCATAACATGGAGAGCAAGGAGGACATCTGATATCAATCTTTCTCTCTCTCTCTCTCTCTCTCTCACACACACACACACACACACACACACACACACACACACACACACTGGAGGTGGGGAGGACACAAACTCCCACACCCAAGTCCCAACAAGTGCATACACATTTTTAAAGCTGTACTCAGAAATCTACAAAACCAGGAGAAATAATTAGCAACCTACACTTTTCCACAATACAGGAAGAACAATCTTGGGGGTTTTTTTTTTTTGTTTGTTTGTTTGTTTTGTTTTTTTCAAGACAGGGTTTCTCTGTTGCTTTGGAACTTGCTCTGTAGACCAGACTGGCCTCAACTCACAGAGATCTACCTGCCTCTGCCTCCCGAGTGCTGGGGAAACAATCTTGGTGTTGATGATCCAACGTAACTCAGAGAACTGCTCAGTCAGGAGCCACTAAGTATCCTGCCTTCTGAAGGTATTTCAGGCCTAGAAGTATACATGGACGAGAAACTGCCCCGCCCCGAGTCCCTGGTCATCAGGAAAGCAGCACAGCTGTTCACTTTCTGAGGTGCTCTGCTTTTATTTGCAGTGGCTTCTCTTTTGAGCCCAGAGGGATTGAACCACTCAATACCAGATGCTTACCAATTTCCAAAGCCACAGTCCATTACAGCCTCTAAAAGGGCCATTTCTTCTTGAGCAGTCCAGCTAGGATCAAGCACAGGAAAGTCTGAGGTCTAAGGAGAAAAAAAGATGTGGTTAAGAACAGGGATAGGAGTGACATGCAGGAACACTATTGTGGTACATGGTTTAAAAAGACTACGCCACAATGAGAGGTGAGAGGCAGGCAGGGACTTCAGGTTCAGTGAGACACAAAGTCTCAAAAAATAAGGTGGAAAGAAATGTCAACTTCTGGCCTCCATATACAGTTGCACACACATACATATGTAACGTATACCATGCCCTCCATACAAAGACTATCATTATCAGATACATCATTATTTTCCTTAGGATTTATTATTATTTTCTAGCTCTACCATACCTAACTCTATGAACTACAATGTTTCCTAGTGAAACACATCAGTATTTTTTTTTTCTGAAAGAATGTTTCTGGACGTGTTACACAGTAATTATGATAACATTTATTGGTTCAGCAGTCAGAAGTGTATACTGCTTTTCCAGAGCACCAGAATTTTATTTCTAATACCTAAGTCAGGAGGCTAACAATCATATGTAATTCCAATTCCAAGAGATCTAATGCCTCTGGCTTCCACAGGAACCAGAACTCACATGTGTACATGCATGTGCACTCAGAGACAGACAGACAGACAGACAGACACACACACAAATACATCTTACAAATAATTAAAAATAAAAGAAGCATGGTGGCATACACCTTCAATCCCAGCATTTGGGAAGCAGAGATAGATGGAGCTCTATAAATTTTAGGCCAGTCTGGTCTACATATTGAGTCCCAGGAAAGCTAGGGCTACATATAGAGATCCCATCTCCAAAAAAAAAAAAAAGAACCCTGATAGGGGAGATCCTTCTGTATATATGTTTCTCTTATTGGTTGATGAATAAAACTGGCCAATAGAGGCAGGAAGATAGTCTGGATCAAACCGGCTCAGACCAAGTTAAACCTGTTCAGACGGGATCAAACCAGTTCAGATGGGATCAAACCAGTTCAGACCGAATTAAACCAGTTCAGACCGGATTAAACCGGCTCAGACTAGATCAAACCAACTCAGACTGGATTAAACCGTTTAAGTTCGAACTGGATCAGACCGGATCAAACCGGTAAGACCAGTTCAAACCAGCTGAGACCAGATCAAACCGGTTCAGACTGGATCAAACTGGTTCAGTCTGGTTCAAATCAGTTCAAACAGGCACAGACTGGTTCAAGCCAGATCGAACCGGATTCAGACTGGTGGATTAAACAGACCGGACCAAACTGGTTCAGTCCAGAGCAAACTGGCTCAGACTGGATTAAACCGGTTCAGACTGGCTCAAACAGGATCAGACCAGATCAAACCAACTCAGACTGGGTCAAACCGGCTCAGATTAGATCGAGCCGGTTCAGACCGGATTAAACCAGTTCAGACTGGTTCAATCCGGTTCAGACCAGATTAAGCCGGTTCAGACCAGATCAAGCCGACCCGTTTAGACCAGATCGAACTGGTTCAGACTGGTTAAGACCGGATTAAACCAGTTCAGGCTAGATCAAACCGGTTCAGACTGGATTAAACTGGCTCAGACAGACTTAAACCGGTTCAGACCGGTTAAGACCGGATCAAACCAGCTCACTGGTTGAAGCCGGTTCAGACCAGATCAAACCAGCTCAGACCAGTTCAAACCAGATCAAACTGGTTCAGACTGGCTAAGACCAGATTAAACTGGCTCAGATAGACTTAAACCGGTTCAGACTGGATCAAACTGGCTCAGACCGGACCAAACTGGCTTAGACCGGATCAAACCAGTTCAAACCAGTTTAAAACCGGTTCAGACTAGTTCGAACCGGTTCTGACCAGACCGAACTAGACTAAATCGGATTAGACCGGTTCAAACCAGTTCAGACCAGATCGAACTGGTTCAAACTGGATTAAGCTGTCAAACCAGATTGAACCGATTCAGACCAGAATAAACTGGATTTGTTCAAACTGACAGGAGATGAGGAGAATTCTGGGAAAGGTAGAGAGAGAGAGAGACCATGAGGGCATTCCATGTAGAGACTAGGAAGATAGGACAAGCCAGGGTTTTCTGGTAAGATAAGGCCATGTAGAAATACATAGATAAGTACTTATGGGTTAATAATTAAGGCAGAGCTTGCCAATAAGGAGCCCTAGCCATCAACCAATAGATTTATAACCAATATAAGTCTTTTTTTTTTTTTTTTTTTTGCTTATTTGGGGCTATGGGACATGGCGGGACAAGAAAACACCACAGTATTAACAGTCAACACATTCTGATCTATGTCTACCATATGAGCTTATTATGAGATGAGAAATCTCAGAAACCATGCATATATTTAATTCATCCCAATCACATTCGAACAAGCAAGCATTACAAAGACATGCAAATATGAAGTCACACATTGGTTGACATGTGTGGTGGTTTGGAAGAAAATGTCCCCCAAAGGGAGTGGCACTATTAAGAGGTGTGGCCTTGTTGGAGGGAGTGTGTGATTGTGGAGGTGGGCTTTGAGGTCTCTTTTGCTCAAACTATTCTCAGGATGACATCCAGTTGACTTCCTGCTGCTTCTGGTCAAGATGTACCCAGCATTGCGACATCTGCCTGCAAGACACCATGTTCCCCATCGTGAAGATAATAGACCGAACCTCTGAAACTGTAAGCTACCACCCCAACACCATGCATGTCATGGTGTCTCTTCACAGCAATTAAAAACTTAAACTAAGACAACAGTTGTGGTGTTTCTAAAAACTGTTTCAGGATACTGACTACCACTCACCAATTTATAATAAAATCTTTCTACACTATAGAAGAACAAAAGGCTTTTTGGAATAACACTGAACTTCAAGAAGAATAGAAAAAAGCCTGCCCCCTTCTTCTTGAAGTTTGGCGTTAATCAATCCTTGACCCAAACTTGGGACAGAATCTCTAATAGGACCTGGAAATGTACAGTTCTAAGCTCCAGGTAATAAAGTCTAAGAATCACTGCCATAAAGGGTGTGGCAGAGGAGCTGCCTTCTCTTGCTCAAGGTCCTAAGAACTACAAGACGAAAATAGCTACAGAATTCAGAAATCTTTATTAATGCACCACCCACCACAGCATGAGTAACTCCCCAAAATATAGCACTGTGAGATGAGAAAAGTACTGAAACCATTTAAAGTTATCAGATGCTTTGTGCTGCAAAGAATCAAGATTTTAGAGGCATAGGGTATAGAACGCCAAAAGCTGGTCATCACTTCTATAAAAGGAAAGATTTGTTGGAATAGGTAAAATTGGTTAATAAAAAGGTGAAGAGTATTAGTATTCCCTAGAGGCTCCCTTGAGCTCAGACCCCTGAAATCAGGTGTTTGTATGGGTGGGGAACACATGAGAAAGAATGATGTAATAAGAATTGAGTGGACTGAAGTGAAAGTGTTTTTTAGCATTATGTGGAAGATGTAGTCCTCAGAATAGCTACAGAGAGCTCACAGTCAGCTTCCCTTTAGTGGCTGGTCATGATTACAAACTATCTCATAAGAGTTACTTTATCACCTCAAATGAATAAATTTGGATACTCAGGAGTAGCATGTGATCCAGTCCTCTGCATCATAAAAATACTTATGAAATCTGAGTCTAGCCATTCTTAGGGGAATCAAATTTCTGAAGATACAGTAATTCTGGTGAAATGAACTCAAAGCCAAAGCTTCTCTGATCCTACTTTCCAAACCTTTAATCCCAGCACTTGGGAGACAGAGGCAGGTGGATTTCTGTGAATTTGAGGCTAGCCTGGACTGCAAATGTGTTCCAGGACAGCCAAGGCTACACATAGAAACAACCAGAACAAAATAATAATAAAGACTTTTTTTTTTTTTTTTTTAAAGAAGAGACTGGAAATTGTAAGGAAAGGCAGCTAGTTGCTTTCCTTTGACTAACACATTATAGTCTAGAACATGACACTCAGTATTATAGGTGCAGGAACACTAACAGGAACAAACAAATGATCAACTTCATGTTGATACACTCATTCTGAACGCTTTTGTTTTATTTTATTTTTGAAGCAGGGTCTTATGTATCCCTGGCTAGTCTCCAACATACCATGTAAAAAATGAGAAAAACTTTCACTGGCTTCATTTCCCAAGCACTCCCAGGTATTTACTATGTGCTGAATACCCAGTTTTATGTGGTACTGAGGATAGAACTCAGGGCTCTCCGTATGCTAGGCAGGCACCCTACCAGCTGAGTTACATCACTAGCTGGCTTTCTTTTTTCTTTTTTGATACAGGGTTTCACTATATAGCCTTATCTGGGTTAGAACTTGATATGTAGACCACAATGGTCTCAAACTGGAAGAGATATATACCTGCTTCAGCCTCTTGGGTGCTGTGATTAAAAATATGCAACACCATGCCCAATTTCTTCCCTATTTTTTATGAAACACACATAAATGTGCTATGAATTACATAATTGGCAGAATTCTGAACATATTCTACATTTCTCCCAAGATTTTTTTTCTACTATTCAATCAAGCACTAGGTACTGCTAGGTAGAATTAAAATTAAACACTCAGCAGATGGAATTAACATTACTAACAACTAGCAAAGTAGAGAAAAAGCCTGGTTTATCTAGGTGGTCCCAATGAAATCATACAAATCCTTAAAAGCAGTAGAGAGGAACTGGAGAGATGGTTCAATGGTTAAGAGCACTGGCTATAAAAGAAAAAAACTGAACTAAAACAAAAAGAGCACTGGCTATCTTCCAGAGGACCTGGGTTCAAGTCCCAAAATCCATATGGTGGCTCACAACTGTTCAAGAGATTTGACACCCTCTTCTGGGAGTACCAGGCATCACATGGTACACTAACATACACGTAGCCATAACACACATAAATTAAAAAACAAAACACAATACCCCCTCCCCCAAAAAAACCCTTTTAAGTATTAGAGGAAGGCAGAAGAACGAGAGAAACTGCTTAAGCAGAATACAGTGGTAGGTCAGAGGCTCAAGCACTTCATCAGCAGTCCTCAAGAGCTTTGCAGAAGGCACAGTGGGCTCCTGAAGCAAAGAACAAACTCTAGCCAACAACCAATGAGGAAACAGGCATCAATCCTTCAATCTCAAGGCAGTCAATCCTGCCAATAGCCTGAATGAACCCAGAAACAGATTCTCCCCCAGGGTGTCAAAATAAATGCTCAGGCTAGCCCAACACCTCCATTTCAGCTTCTCAAGACCTGCCACAAACCAGGAGACCCACTGCTCTTTTGACCTATTGAACTGTGTTGTCTTAAGCCACTTAATTTTTGAGAACTTATAACAGCAACTGTAGAAAACTAATATAGTGCCAAAGATTTTATCTGCACTGTGGAATTATTACTATAAGAAAACTGTGCCAGGGGCTAACTTGCTTTAAGTACTCTGAAAACAGATAAAACTTAGCCCTGAAATGCTAGAGTTCAAATTTAAAACTTGGCACACACTGGGGGAGGGCTCTACTACTGAGCTAGAACCCCAGTCTCCAGAAAAAACTAATTTAACAAGGTACATATACCTGTCAAGAGACCTGATTATTCACATTGGCTTATTAAAATCCCAGCCCGGGCTGAGAAAATGGGAGTATTAATATTTATTTTTAATTATGGGGTATGTGTATCTCTACCTATATGAGTGAAACACAATGTGGGATATTTTGTACACTGTGTGAAAATGTATTGCTGTGATTGGTCTAATAAAAAGCTAACTGGCCAATAGCTAGGCAGGAGGTATAGGTGGGGATGAAGTATTCAAATGCCCGAGACTTGGGGCCATTCTCATGTGAACCACCACACAGGGTCTCACATGATATCCCTGATTAGCCTTGAACTCATGGCAACTCTCCTGTCTAAGCACTGGGATTATAGGCGTGAGTCACCATTCTGCTGTCAATCATTTTTATGTTATATGTTGTTTTAGTTAGGTTTTCTATTGCCGTGAAGAGACACTAAGATCATGGCAACTCTTGTAAAGGAAACATTTGAGGGGCAGCTCGTTTACAGTTTCAGAGGTTCATTCAGTCCACTATCATCATGATGGGAGCATAGCAATGTGCAGGCAGTGTGGTGCTGGAGCTGAGAATGCTGTTATCCTGCAGTCAACAGGAAGTCAACTGAGACACTTGGAGGTATCCTGAGCATAGGAAACCTCAAAGCCCACCCCTACAGTGACACACTTCCTCCCACTTCATACCCACTCCAACACAGCCACGTCTCCAAATAGTACCATTCCCTACGAGACTACGAACACTAATTACATTTAAACTACCACACATGCATACACATGTTAAGCTATTTTTACATTTAAATACCGTAATAGGTTACAAGGAACTAAAAGGCCTACTAGATAATTATCAAATTCAGAAGAGAAAAAGGACAGAGACACATGGAGATAAAGAAAATGAGTTCTTAGTTCCCATCAACATCATCATTACCATTATCTCGTAAGTGTGGTCACTCTGATGCTTCTTGTACTCAAATCCTCGAGTGAAACACTGTGAAGAAAAGAAATTAAATTACCAAAAACTACATTTAAAAAAAGAAATACTTTCTTAGGGCGGGGGATGAGGCTCAACTGGTAGAACACTTGCCATACACACAAAGCACTGGACTCAACCCCAGCATTTGGGAGGTGGAGCCAAGAGGATCAAGAGTCCAAGGCCATCCTCACTCAGCTATAGAGCCAGTTCAAGACAAGCTAGATGACATGAGACCACATATTTAAAACACAAAATAAAATCCAGGCTTGGTGGTGCACACCTTTAATCCCAGCACTTGAGAGGCAAAAGCAAGTGAATCTCTGCAAGTTCCAGGCCAGTTTGGTCTACATAGTTCCAAGAGAGCCAAGGGTTAGACCATCTCAAAATACCAAAAATAATAAATGAACTAAAATAAAAAAACAAGACAAAAGATGGCTTGAGGGTATTCTACTTTTACTTTTTTTTAATTTGAGACAGGATCTTAGGTAGTTCAGGTTAGTCTTAATCTCCCTATGTAGTCCAAGCGGGCCTTGAACTCCTGATTTTCCTGCCTCTCCACTTCCAAAGTTCTGAAACTACAGGCATTCACCGCCACTAGCAGCCTAGGGTGATCTAGTCTTATGAGTTGTAGTTTGAGGGGTGGGGATGGGGGGGGGTCTATTCTTGCTTTTGGTATACTAAAAAGAATTTTGCTATTATCCCAGGCTGACTTCATCTTCCTTCCTGCTATTCATCCTCTCAAAATGCACCCCATGCCCAGTATATAATCTTATAACTCAAGGTGTATCACAACTTTCATCAGCCACGTTTTACATTTCAACATGACTAAAACTGGAATGCTGTGTGTGCATGCATGCATGTGTTTGTAGGTGCACTTGCCTATGCATGCCCTTGTGGAGGCCCCATCACTGAGTCTTCCTCTATTGCTCTCCCCTTTATTTCCCCAGACAGAGTCTCTCATTGAACCTAGAGCTTGTTGTTTCAGCTAGTCTGGCTGGCTAACAACCCCCCCAGAAGTCCCCTATCTCCACTCCCTCCCCAGTATGGGGTTACAGGAAAATGCTACCATGCCCAGGATTTACATGGATGCTGGGGACTCAATCTCAGGTCCTCGTGCTTACATAGCAAACACTTTACCCCCTGAGCCATCTCTGACATCCCTGGAATACTTCTTGTAATTGAATGTCTTAGGCTGGGTAAGACTTGACATTCCCAACAAGCAAATTATTTAGGCTTTCTTTGGCTGAATTTCATCTGTAAAATGCAGATATTTATTTATTCACTTCAGATCACTGTAGTAATGGATTAGTGGCTGATTCAAGTGAAGTACTCAAAATAATACCTGGCACACTTATAATCAGCATTACTCCTAATATAACCCACAAAATATTTTGCTCCCTTGTCATCTATACAAAGATCATTCTAACAAGCTAATAAACAGTGAGATCAAACAATCTGTTACTTCTGATCCCTATAATCTAAATACTTTAAATTTACTCAGGAAAAGTGGTAAGCATTAAGTTAAGAAGCTCTACAGAACAGACAGATGGATGTCTCTTCCACCTGCTGTTTCCGAACTTCCTGGTAAAGTTTAATAGAGAGGACCACTTGCAGGAAGAGAGCTACCTCAAGTTACTGCATCCACAAAACACACCAAGGGAGACACCCTCTCCTCAGGGAGTTACCTGCAAACACAGGAAGAAAGGAGGAGGTCCACATTCAGCACACTTAATGTAAGGTTCCATGAGGTAGGAGGAGCAGCCTCTGCAAGGGGGCTTATCAGATGGATCATCTACAAGAGAAAAAACAAACCAAGTTTAAAACTCCCAAATAACACTAAGGGCAAATGGTGAGACTCTGCAAATGGTTGGAGACCGTGACTGTGCTGACAAACTTATTCCACACATAAACAAGAGCCACACCCCTTCTGTTACATAGCCCTGTATTCCTTCCTCCAGTGCACCTACCGCTTCAAACACAGAGGCAGACAGGGTGGAGGCAGAGAAACTTAAAAAACCCTTAAAGTTTTACAAAGCCCACTTTGCCACAAGGAAAAGAAAACTGAGCACATTCCCTACACAGCACACATACACAAAGCAAACCAGAGGGTGCTAACAATTGTTTCCCCTGGGCAGCAGTGGACAAGCATTCACTGCCTGTTCTTTCAACTTCTCTGCAAGTTTAAATTTTTTTTAATTATTATTTATTTATTTAGGTTTTTCAAGACAGGGTTTCTGTGTAGCTCTGGAACCTGTCCTGGAACTCACTCCACCCGTCCCTGCCTCCTGAGTGCTTCGATGAAGGCAGTGTACCACCACTGCCTGGCTTCATTTTTTTCTTAAGTTGGGGGAATTCCGATTTGGGATTTAAGTTTTGTGTCTAGGTTGAGTCTTCTACCTAGGAAAACAAAACATTGCAGACCTGCTCTTGTTCTGGTGAAACCAGTAGGTCTCTAAACTATTAAAGTAAAGGAAATGCTCCAAATCCCTAAAACCGCAGGTATGCATGTCCTAGGTTGCCCCAAATCCTGTCTCTCTGAAGTCAGGACAAAACTGACTATTCTCTGTGATTACCCACAGGAATGTGCAACAAAGGCCTTGGAAGGTGAGATAGGGCAGGATCTCTCATATTATGATAGTATTTTCCTCCTTAAAGCCAAAACACACCCTTCAAGGCATCCTTCCTTCTTCTAACAGCCATTTGCTTTGAAATGAAGACATGAAGGAAAATGACAGGATAAAGAAATGTACTCCCCTGCTGGGCAGTGGTGGTGCACACATTTAATTCCAGAGTTTAGGAGGTAGAGGCAGGTGGATATCTCTGAGTTCTACGCCAGCCTGGTGGGCAGAGTGAGTTCACTCTGTATCCCAGGACAGCCAGGGATACAGAGAAATGTCTCAGGTCTCCCCTCCCTACACGCCCCTCCAAAAGTATTTCTCGAAGCTTTTTCCTTTTGTTGTTTTTGAGACAGAGTCTCATGTAGCCCAGGTTGTTCTCCAACTATGATGACCTTTAACTCCTGAATCTTCCTGCTTCTGCCTCCAAAGTGAAGGGATTACAGGCATTCATCATTCACCACTACTGGTGAAAAAAATAAATATAAGGTGTTAGATGCCATTAAAAAAGAAACTGTGTATGTGTGTGACATGTGAGTGTAGGGGCTCATGGAGGACAGGGGTCAGGTGTCTGAGCTGGAGTTACAGGCAGCTGTTGGCCACCTGATGTGCTTGCTGGGAACTAAACTCCAGCCCTCAAAAGACAGAACACCTTAAGTGACAAGCTATCTCTCCAACCCCAGATGCCAATGTTTACCATCTCCTGAACTCTGTTTTTTTTTTTTTGTTTTTTTTTTTTTGTTTTTTGTTTTTTAAGGGACAGGCTCTACATTGTCAAGACTGGCCTTGGACTCAGAGGCCCAAGTCATCACCATTAAATTCTCTTAACTTTTTTTTCTTACATTTTATTTGTGTGTGTGTGTGAGAGAGAGTGTGTGCAATGAAACACACATGCAACAGCAGATGGATGTCAGAGGAGACTGGGAGTCAGTTTTCTTCTTCTATCATGTAACCAGGGATTGAACTCAAGTCCTCAGGCTTGAGTCATCTCGTTGACCCTTTCCTATCCTTTAACAGTTCACTTCATCAATTAGTTAACGTCATGGTTCCCTACCACCCACTAGGAAGACATTTTGAAAATCCAAAGAAAGGCAGGTTTTTGCTGCTACCATGACTAGGCTGCTACCATGACTAGGCTGCACTATTAATATTATGCAGACAGGAACTGGGGTTTTAGGTGGCCTGAAGTACTCAGGATACTCCTTCCTACACAGTGAAACAAATGAACAAAAAGCCCTGACTTAAATCCTTAGCAAGCTTCAATTATCTCATTTTAAAAAAAGTCCGGCAGTGGTGGCTCAAGCCTTTAATCGCAGCACTCGGAAGGAAGAGGCAGGTGGAGCTCTGTGAGTTTCAGGCCAGCCTGGTCTACAAAATGAGTTGCAGGCCAGGACAGCCAAGGCTACACAAAGAAACCCTGTCTCAAAAAGCAAAAACAAATCAACTACACAAAAAAAAAAAAAAAAAAATCTCCTGATTATATGACCTAGAACCTATTTCCATTTCACATGTAAAAAATAAAATATTTGTTTTTGCTAGTGTTGGGAATCTTACCTGGGACCTTGTACATGTTAGTCAAGCAGGCGTGCAACAGGAACCACTGAGGTATAGTTTCAGCCCTAACCAAAATATTTTTGACAAGTAGGAGTGGAAGTGCATGCCTTTAACCCCAGCATTCAGGAGACAAGCAGGCAGATCTTTATGAGATCCACACCAGCTAGAGCTACTTAGTGAGACCCTATCTCAAAAGGAAAACTTGACAGTTTAGACATATTTGAGTACTCTAGTATGACAAGTATACACATGTCAACAGGAGGCTGTATTACTTTGCTGAGAACTTGACCATAGACTACTAAGACTTGTAGCATTTCTTGGTCACTAACAGCCTGAATCATCCTAAATTTCTGATATATTTGCTATTTTACTATACTTTCTATTATTTCATTACAGACTACTCCTTTTACTATGGAATTATTTTTGTAAACATGTATCTACATATTCCATTTTCAATTAACAGACTTCAAAAATATAAAAAATAATTGGGTCTAAAAGGTTGAGAACTAATCTTACCAGTGCCCGAATAGTGGCCATATATGTACTTATGACATGTATTTAACTTGCTCAGTATCTTTGATATGTATAACATTTTACATTTCTCCCTCTCCATGTACTTTCCTAAAACTAAAATTATGGCGTGCACAAAGGACAGATCTAGGGTTTTGAAGGTTTATTTACTTTATGATTATATTTACTGATACACTTTTTGTGTATATGAGTGGGCAAGAATGAATTGTATAAGATGAGCATGCTTGTGTTATGTAACTCACAACCACCTGTAATTCCACTTGTGGGAGCTCTGATACCTCTTCCAGGCCTCTATGGGTACCCGTACTCATATGAATATACCATCACACATAATTAAAAACAGTAAAATTCTGACGAAATGGTTTTAAAAATGTGAAATAGTTTTAAAAATGTGACTCAAACAATAAAAACATTCTAAATGGGTTGGAGAGAAGGCTCAGTGGTTCAGAGCACATCATGTTCTTCTAGAGGATTGAAGTTTGGTTTCCACCAAGCACACTGCATGGCTCACAAGAGCTGCAACATCAGTACCAGGGGATCATGACACCTTCTTCTGACCTCCTCGGGTACCTGCACTCACATGAACATATCCCCACACAGATACACATAATTAAAAATTAAATACATCTTTGGTGCTGGAAAAATGGCTCAGCAGTTAACAGCACTGGCTGCTCTTCTCGAGGACCAGGGTTCAATTCCCAGCATCCATATGGCAACTCACAACCATCTGTAACTCTCTCTTTTGGCCTCTCAAGGAATCAGGCATACATGTGGGGCACAGATATACATGCAGAGAAAAACATCCATACACATAAAATAAGAAAAAAAATTTAAAAAATCTTTATAAACAGGGCTAGAAATATAGCTCAGTGCTTAAGAGTGTTTATTGCTCTTGCAGAAGACTTAGGTTCTGTACCCAGTACACACACATCTGTAACTCCAGTTCCAGATGATCCCAAATCCTTTTCTGGCCTTCATGGGACCTGTAGACACATAGCGCACATAAACTCAGAGGTAAACATAAACATACACATAAATACATCTTTACAAAACAAAAACTATAAAGTTGAAAAAGCAAGTAAACTGGAAGAAAGTATTTGCAAATCTGATTAAAAAAAAATCTGAAATACTTTTCTTTTAAGCCTTCATTTTATTTTATGTGTATGGGTGTTATAGCTGCATGAATGTCTGTGCACCATGTTCATGCAGTATTTGTGGAAGCCAGAAGGTGTCAGCTTCCCTGGGACTGGAGATGCAGATAGTTGTGAGTCTTCATGTGATTACTGGTGGTCAAACTTAGGTCCTCTGGAAGACCAGCAGAGCCATCTCTCAAGCATCAAACACCTGAAATTCTTTTTTGTTTGTTTGTTTTTTTGAGACAGGGTTTCTCTGCATTGCTTTGGAGACTGTCCTGGAACTAGCTCTGTAAACCACGTTGGCCTAGAACTCAGAGATCTGCCTGCCTCTGCCTCCCAAGTTCTGGAATTAAAGGCGTATGCCACCAAGGCCCAGCACACCTGAAATTCTTTTTGTTTGTTTTTTTTTTGAGACAGGGTTTCTACATGTTTAGCCCTAGAACTTGCTATGTCATTACAACATGCCTTAATTGTTTTAAAAGATGGGAGTATACCTGGTGGTACTTTAATCCCAGTACTTGGGAGGCAGAGGCAGGCGGACCTCTCTGAGTTCCTGCATAGCCAACACTGTTACATAGTGAAACCCTGTCTCAAAACACCAAAACCAAACCAAACCAAACAGTAGGGCTAGTTTCAGTTTATACTTGGAGCACTGTTAAACTGAAAATGTAGAAGTAGATATGTCCAAAGATTCTTCTTTTCTAAATAAATGTAGGGAAAATGCAGAATGCCTTCAAGAAAATGACAAAGAAACAAAACCTGAAAAATATATTTCTGGTTCTTACTGGGATACTAATGAACATCTACTTTGTGACTGTACTTGTATATATGTGTCTTGTGTATGCACAAGTATGTATCACCTAATTTTGTGATTTCTATTCTTCAAAATCTAATGATGATACATGTCTGAATTCTTAGCACTTGGGAAAGTAAGTAGTTCAAGGTCTTCCTTAGCTACAAAGCCAGTTCCAGGCCAGCCCAAGCTACGTGAGACCCTGGGCTCAAAAATAAAAGTGTTTACAGATCAATCACATAGTGGCTGGTCTACTTAGCTTGGTTTCATTCTAAAACTTGGAGTGATAGATACATTTGTGTTATGTTCAGTAGGCAACCAATAGGACCTGGCTGATTTTACTTTTACATGACATTCATAATTCCTTCAGCCATCATCAATCAACTTCAAAGACATTGCTTCCGAGATCAACTTCTACTTTAGTTTGCTATTCATCATCTTCACTTGAGACTTGCTCCACAGTACTTACTGCTAAAGGAACCCAAACGGTCCATTCTCTAATTGACAGTGACGGCTGTTATTCCAGCTCTTCCTTGATGGGGAGCTTCTTCAAGACTTCAAAAGTGGCCAAAAATTATTGATCCCCTAAGAACAAAGAGAAGAGCCACATAAATCAGAAACCATTCAATGCTAGACAGTGGTGGCACATGCATGCATTTAATCCCCGGATTTGGGAGGCAGAGAGTTCCAGTCCAGCCTAGTCTACAAAGAGAGTTCCGGGACAGCCAGGGCTGTTACACAGAGAAACACTGTCTCAAAAAAATATGAAACAACAACAAAAAATTTGGGGCAGGTTTTCTCTGTGTAACTCTGCCTATTCTGTCTAGATCAGGCTGGCCCTGAACTCATAGGCCTGTTATCTCTGCCTCCAAAGTACTAGGATCAAAGGCGGTACTGCCACCAACACCACCCAGAAGAAAAATGAATTTAACAAAGGAATAGTATACATTCAGGAGTAAAACAACAAGCCGACATCCACATGGCAAGAAATGAATGGTATCACTTTATGTGTAATATCTCTTGTAATCCTAACAATTTCCTGTAACAGGCTGTGTTTTTTGTTTTCCAAGTAAAGGAAGCGCTAAAGACTGGGGCATTGGCACAATGTTTTTACAGGCTGGTGAACAGTAGGGCCCTATCAACAGAAGCTTACACCATAAAGGATGCTAGAATATTCTGACAAACACTTCACGTCACAAAGCACAATGCTGTAGGAAGCAAAAAAAAAAAAAAAAAAATCTTCTCCTCCATTCTTAAGAAGCCCACGCGTGACACTAACATCCTTGAGAGTCGGGCTACATTCAGATTAACTACTAAAGGGGAAAAGGAAGGGAGCGAGGGGCAGGCTCCGGGAGTTGCGGGCTTGGCAGTTGTGCAGACAGCATCATTACAGCTGTATGGCCTTGGGCAAGTCATTGTACTCGCGCCTCGGCTCGCAAACGCTGCACAACACTGGCTCGCCGAGACCCACGTGGGGGTTCGGCGGATCAGGTGGGCCGGTGCGGCGCTCAGCCGGGGACACCGAGGTGCCGCACCGCCAGCCGCCCAGGAGCGGGGGGATGGGCTGGGGACCGGTGGCGCCGCACCCGCCTCGCCCGTCGCACGGCCCCGCCGCGGCAGCCCGCACCTCGTGACCCCGCGTGCCCTCGCTCCCGCCACCCGGCCCGCTTCTCACCTCGCCAGGTCTCGCACCTCTGCGCCCAAGAACCTCACGCTGCGCGCGCCGCCCAAGTTCTCTGCGTGCGCGCCCCGGCCTGCGTGCGCGGCCCCGAATCACGTGCGCAGCCCCTGACCACGCCGTCGCGAGCACGCCGCGTCTGCTCCGCCTCCACCCCGGCCGCGGGCGGGCGGGTCCCAGTGGCGCTGCCCTGGGATGGGAAGAGTGATGCTTTCCCGTTCGCCAGCAGGCCCTGCAGTCTGATCTGCTGTCACTTTCCCTGTCGCTACAAGAGTCCCGGTGTGGTGCTCTAAGGTGGCCCCGCCTGGTTCAGTCTGGATTTTCTCATAACAATCCCTCTCCAGTACTGTTGCAAGCGAGGAAACTGAGGCTGCCCAGGTGCTGGGCTGGACAACGGCAAGCCTGGACCGCGCCATGCCACTCTTGGATTACTCAGACTGAATGCCTTGAGGGGTGAAGAGGGTCCTTTTCATTCTGATGCTTCTGGGACGTCGAAATTGCCTTCTCTGGAAAGACCCATCCCCTCCCTGAGCTTCAGATGCTCGCTCACATGGAAGTACAGTGATGATGTGGTGGTCCACTCTGATGTCAATCTTGAGGGCTAGGTATGTCCCAACATCTCTTATTATGACTAGTAGAGATTGTTATAAGAGCTTCAGTTTGTAGAGTCCTTCCTCACTGCATGCCAGGCATTGTACAAAGCGCATTACACAAACAACTTTCTGAGGAAGGTACTGTTCCTGTCCCCATGGTCCAGCTGAGGAAATTTAGGCCCTGGTATATATGATATAACTTAGGATAACATTGCTACCAAGTGTTGGGGAAGGGATTCCAACCATGGCTGATCTGAACTATTATGTTTTATATCTATTTAAAAATCTGTCTTACAGATTTACCCAACTTCTGTTGGAACTCATTTATACACTGCCTGTGTGGCATCTTTATTCTTTTTTTTTTTTTTTTTTTTTGGTACAAAAGTAATATAAGTATATAAGTCCATTGTTAAAACACAAAAATCTCAGCTGGGTGTAGTTAGTAGTAGTATACATCTGTGATCATAACACTTGGGAGACTGCAGGACAATTGCCATCAGTTTGAGGTCAGTAGGCTACAGAGTAAAAGATCTGTCTCAAAAAGAAAAAGAAAACATTAAAATTCACGTGTGAAAATCACCCCCACCAAGCTAAATGTTAATGTCTTTATGTATTTCCTTCCACACACTTTCCTATTTATTGTATCAATATTATATGGCACTTTATACTTAGAGAATCCTCAAATCTATTCGTTCGTTTGGCAAATACACAATGAACAGTCACTGTTCATGGTGCTGAGAATATTGTACTGAGCAAAACATTCTGTTGCTCATAAGGTTTATGTATTACATATATGAGTAAATAATAAAAGATGAGCATATTATATAAAAATAATAAGTATTAAAAGATGCCTCATTTTATGGAAAATGAATTGAGATCAAGGGATAACAGTGATACAGAGATTTTCTTTGAGTCAAGATGGGAAAGAAAGACCTCTTAGCAGACAGAGCACACAAGCGGAAATCCTATTATTTAATGAGAAATGGAAACTAAGTGGATTTCTAGAAAGAACCATAGATGAGAGACAGCAAGTACAGTGGCCCTGGTACATGGATTGCCATGGAAAAGAAGCGGGGGGGGGGGAGGAGCAGAATGGCTGAAACAGCGCTGATTAAAGAAATACCATAGCCAGGACCCAGATCATATATCATTTGGTAAACTTTGGTTGGATTTTGGATTTCACTGGGATGGGTTAGGAATACCATAAAGGGTGTGCTCAATGTTCTCTGTTCTGTTCTTTGTTTTTGAGTTTGGTTTTTCAAGACAGGGTTTCTCTATAGCTTTGGAGCCTGTCCTGGAACTTGCTTTGTAGACCAGGCTGGCTGTCTTTGAACTCACAGAGATCTGCCTGTCTCCGCCTCCCAAGTGCTAGAACTAAAGTTGTGTGCCCCTACCACCTGATGAGATCAATGTTCTCAAGAAAAGCATGGTGACTCGTGCCTGAAATCCTAGTACACAGGAGGCTAACCTGAGCGGCACATAAAATTCCAGTCCAGTCTGGTGTATAATACCCTGACTCAAATAAAAAAAGGATAATTAAATTATCTAAGGGGAGGATGAAAATTAAATTATCAAATTAAAATGTATCCAAGGAGATACAACAAAATATGGTGACATATATATGTGAAAATGACATAATGAAACCCATTTTGCATAGGCTAGCTTAAAAACTAATGCAATAAGAATTAAAGTGTTCAGGTGGGATGGCTCAGTCTGTGAAGTGTCTTTATTTTGTTTTTGTTTTTTGGGGGGGGTTGTTTTGTTTTTGTTTTTTGTTGTTGTTTTTGTTTTTTGAGACAGGGTTTCTCTGTATTGTTTTGGAGCCTGTCCTGGAACTAGCTCTGTAGACCAGGCTAGCCTCGAACTCACAGGGATCTGCCTGCCTCTGCCTCCCGAGTACTGGGACTAAAGGTGTGCATCACCAATGCCGAGCCGGTGAAGTGTTTTTGAGTTTGAACTTCGATACTCATATAAATCTCTAGATGAGGTTATGCATGTCTGTAGCCCCAACACTTCGAAGGAGACAGGAGGATCCCCTAGAGGGGCTTGTTGGTCAGACAATCTGGCTAAATCAGGTTCATTGAGTGATACTCTCAAAAATTAGAATGAAGGGGCTGAGGAGATGGCACAGTCAATGAAGTACCTGCTGTACATACATGTGGCCCTGATTTCAGATTGCCAGCACTAGTACTCCATTCACTTGTAACCCCAGCACTGGGTAGAGTTGAGACAGGCACAGCCTTGGAGCTCATTGGCCAGCCAGTCTAGCCAAATAGATGAGTTTAAGGAGAGACCCTGCCTCAAAAAATAAGGTGGAGAGCAATTGAGAAAGACACCCACATCCACTTCTGGCCTTCATATACAAAGGCACATACGGGCAGACACACACACACACACACACACACACACACACACACACATACACACACACACACACACACACCTCCAAAATATAAAAAATAAAATTTCCAGTGAAAGGAAAGATAACCCTGATGGAAGCAGCACTCTCCTTGGTTTCTTCCTTAAGCAGCATGTTGCTTCCTGTTAGCGGCATGGCAAGACCACCAGAGGAAGGGAGAGAGAGTCTAATTGAAGGAAGACTGACTTGGAGGAGAAAGTAAGTTTTGTTTGGCATCTACATTTTGCATACTAACTGGAAATGACAATAGGAGTCTGCTGCTCAGTGGAGAGTTCAGGGCTCAAATTGTGGAAGAGTAGAATTGTTTCTTTGTCTGTGTTTTCGTCAGCTTGAGAACAGACTGTCTTTTCTCTTTGTAACCTCTGCACCCAGAAAGGTAGGGCCAGCAGATAGCTGGTGAAATGAATAAAGGCAAAGGTATGGCCAGATATAGTGGCATACACCTTGAATCCTGGCACTCGGGAGTCAAGTGGTAGGAGGATTGCTGCAAGTTGATGCCAGATTGGTCCATATCACAGCAAGCATCTAAGCCAGTCAAGGGTTACATAAGGAGTTCCAGTCTCAAAAAAAAAAAAAAAAAAAAAAAAAAAAAAAAAAGAAAAGAAAACAGGCAAAAGGTACAGATAAACATGTGAGATTTAAAAAGAAGACCTGGGTCTGGAGAGATGGCTTAGTGGTTAAGAGGACTGGCTGTTTCTACAGAGGACCTAGGGCCCACATGGTAGCTCACAACCACCTATAACTCCAGTTTTGAGGGATCCAATGCTTTTGACCTCCATGAGCATCAAGCATGCAAGTGATACACATACATTCTGGCAGAACACTTATACACATAAAATAAATCTTAAAAATGTATCAAAAACTAAAATAAAAATGAAATGGACTCTCTACTTTTACTGGATGTCCAAGCAGCTGAACATGGCTTACAAGCAGAATGACCATAATTCCTGAATTGATCAGGCTGCTCCTGTTTTTTTCTTTTGGTGTGACTTAACTATTAATATTGCCTTGATTCACTAAGATGTACCATGCTTTGTACAATAAATCTATAGATCATTCTTTATAGAAAGCCCTTTGAAATCTATCTCATTCTCACTTTGTTTTAGTGTTATATTTTGGTGCCCAGGGATAGGAACAAAGGCAATCACTCTGCCACTAAGCTACACTTAACTAACTTCTTTGCTCCATGGAAGGACCTTCCGTTCTCATATGCACTCTTACCTCCTGGCTTCCTTTGCCAAGGGAGGGTACTTTACTTCAGCTTGGCTGCCACTTTTCCAGAACCCTTCTCCTGACCTTTCAAAACTCTGAGTTCCCAGCATACCCTGTATTTAACTTCAGAACAAAGATGTGCCTTGTTCCCCCCCCCCATCTCTGTGGAGAAATCTGGAAGCAAAATGAACACAATAATTTTACATTTCTACTGACCACTGATTTTAAACCTTGTCCTTCATGACAGGTGTAGCACATTGTCTAAGGCCTTCATTCTTGACTAAGTAAAGAGTAAACTTTTGAACTAGAAGTGTAACAAAGAAAATTGTTTCCTGATTTCAGGCTCTGTAACATGACTGCATTGGTTAAGAACAAAAGCCTCAATTCATTGGTTAAAGTCAAAAGTGCATGTTCCTGGCCTCCTCCTTGTGAAAATAGCACCCTGTCATGTCTGCTTAATTTCCTTTTTTTCCCTAATGATGCAGGGTCTTGTTACATGGCCTGGAGCTCACTGTGGAGCTTAGGCTAGCCTCTGTCTGGTGATCTTGCTGCCCTAGCCTGAGCTTGCAGCCATGTGTCACCCCAATTGTCTCTCTTACTATTTTCTACATTCTCAATGTTGAACGACTCCATGAACTTGCTCTCCTCCAATTTCCACATTCCCCACCTGACTGAGATGGCTGCTGTTGTTCTTTTGTTAATAATTCTTGGAGAAAGCTGGAGAAGGAGGTGGGGGCCCCGAGTGGGGGGGCCCTAAGGTAAGGGAACACATGGGAGAACATTAGCAGGTTCCACAGCAGGTGAGGGTGACCTAGGTGGAGGGAACAACACTCCAGGCAGGCAGAGCTTAA